TAACCTTTAGATTTCAGCTGAAATGTCACTTACTCAGAGAAGCTTTCTCAGATCTCCCTGAAGAGGTCATTTTTATGTGTGCAGTGAAGAATCTAGTCTTGCCCTAAGAGAGGCCTGACCTTTGCCCTTGTCTCCTGGGAGGTGATCTCTAAGCTCTTGAGAAGCCATGCCTCCTCACAAAAGTGTCTTCGTTTACCTGGGGGCTGTGGGCCACGAAGATAGTCTCACGGTGTGACTTAGGGTGGGTTCTGGGTCGACAGTATCATCTCAGTCTCCAGGGTGGCTGGAGACTGAGGGCCAATAAAAACTCTATACCAAGAATCGGCTGAGATGGCCTGAGTGGCAGCACTCTGCACACTCACACATCATTGCCACTCAAGTTACAGCGCTGGCTTTGACTCCCCTGGGCGAAGACCACGCGCAGCTTTCCTGCACTCCGCCCTGCGTGTCTCTTCCCTTGGCTGAATTTAATCTGTGTCCTTTCACTGTAACGAACTATGTGACTACAGCAGATTTTGGTGAGGTCTATGAGTTTTTCTAACAAATTACAGAAACTGAGGGTGGTCTTGGGTACTCCCCAAACTTGCAAGTATCAGAAGTCAGGGTGGTTTGTGGTACCCAAGACTCTATAGTTGGTGTCCGAAGGGAGGGTAGTCTTAATAGATTATTTTTGAACTTCACAATACGGTTCTCATTTCACTCCATGCAGCACTTATTGCCACTGTAATTTTGTATTTCACTGATTAATACCAATCTCCTCCACTAAGCTCTGAACACCCTTGAGGAGAGGGCTCCTGACTGTTTATCATTCCCCAAGCACCTGGCACAGTGTCTGACACATTGCAGACACTCAATCATTCTTTCCTGAAAGACTGAACAGGTGGAGTCACACAAAACTAGTACCAATGACCTAAAGCAATAAGTCAGACAGACCTTAGCTTTCTCATCAGTGAAACAGTAACAAAACAACAATGTTTTGCAGAGAAGCATTACCAAAAGGGTCATTCCTGGATCCTTATACACAAATTGTAACTACCAGAAGACACCTTTTCTAGATATTTTGTTAATCAATGATCCACACATATGCACACTTCCAATTAGAGCATATGATTAGCATAAGACAGGCAGTATTACCTCTCTAAAATGATGCAATTCCATCCATAAATACCAAAACTATGCATTTAGTTAATCTGTATGACATTATCACAAATAAATATAATTTTAATTAAATGTTTTAAATATCTGAAAATATTCCTCAGAGTCCAGAGACCCTGGATTGGAAATCTTTACTATAAGCTCTTGAAGCCTAGAACCAAGGATTATATATTTATGTAATATATACTATAAAATTTCTAGCACAGGTTCATAGGAGGCATACACTAAAAAGACTGATAGATACTATTGTTGAATTACTGATCAGTTTAATAGAAACTGTTGGCATAATATAGTATAAAAAAATACAATATAATTGGGAATTTACTAGTCTGGCATATTAATAAACATGGCAGGAATAATGTAATACAAATAAAACATTAAATTATAGTAAGGTAGAAATGTAATACAGAACTAGAAAAGTATCAAGGGACTCTAGAAATTATAAATTCATACTCCAGTATCATTTTTTTTCTTTGTAGAGTACTTTCTTATACCTTAAAAATACCTAGGCCTCTGTAAGTCAGTCATTGTTAGTGTCTTAGTGAATCCTAGTGTTTTTTAACTGTAATATTCTCTCTACATTTATCAGATACCTACTATGTGTCAGGGATTATACATGAAAACTCCTGGGTTTACAATTTAGTAAGGAAGAAATATAATTAAATACACACACAAACATATATGGAAAAAACCTTGAAAAATATAAACTGTTTTAAGTGGTTATCTCTGGAGCAGGGATTATAATGGACTTTTATTTTCTACACTGTACATTTATAATGCTTACATTTTATATCATGGGTATAGATTCTTATATACCATAAAAAAAATGTCTTTAAAAGGAGAAAAATCACCTGAAGGACCAAACTATCTGTCCCCTACTTTTTCTCTACTACCTAGATTTTGAAAATCACAAGCAGTGATTATAATTATTATAGTACAATGATAAATATTAAAATTTATAAATGGATTATTTGTGTTAGAGAAATAATTAGAATCTCAAAATGTTTATCATTAAGAAATTTAGTTAAATAAATTATAGGATGCTTATACTAAGAATACTTTTAAAAGAGGTGGTGTTGTGATATGGTTAAGAGTATGGACTTCAAGGCAACAGTGCCTGGGTTTGCACCCAGCTCTCCCACTGACTAGCTACATAACTTGGGCAAGTTTCTTAACCTCTCTGGGACTCAGTTTCCACATCTGTGAAATGACGAGGAACCTGTAAAACCACAGAGGGTCATTGTGAGGATCAGTTACTACAAATAAATTAATACTAAAAAATAATACATATAAAAGTACCTGATAAGCCTTCAATATGTTAGCTAATACTGTTACGTGCACTGAAAGTCAAACTTTTATCATTAAGTGAAGAAAGATGCAAAATATTTTGCACAACAGTCCAACTTCAGAAAAAAAAAAAAGATAATAAGAATGTGTTAACAAGTGAATAGAAAATGTGGGAGGCAGTATGGCAGGTGGAACCACCAACCTGGGCTTTAGACCTAGGTTTAAATTCTGGATCCACCATGTACTAGCTGTGTGACCTCAGGCAAGTAAGTTAATTTTTCTAGGCCTCAATTTCTTCATCTGTGAAATGAGGGTAACACCTCATAGGGCCGTTGCAAGGGTCAAATAAATAATATATCTAAAGCACAATATCTGGCACACAACAAACATCGTAAATGTGGGCTGTTGTTGGTACTGCTATGGTGATAGTTGTTACCAGTAAGAAGACACATGCCTGCCTTATCCACCATTACATCCCTAGGACCTAAAACAATGCCCAGCACAAAGGAGGTGCTCAACAACTACTCGTTGATTAAATGAATGAGTCAAACCGTTAGAAGGGGTTAGTAGACATGGGTGTGGGAGCACAGGGATATTCACTCATCACTATATATTTCTGTAACTTAAGATACTTTAAGTACACAATGATAAAATAATGTTTTCCAAACCCTTGAAGTAAAGCAAAAAAACTCTAATTTCTCTAAAAACACTCAATTTTTAAAAGTTGGGGGGGAAAATGGAAAGAAGTAATAAAATAAGAGAAAAAGGAAAAACAAGTTACTAAGTGGAATAGTAAACATTCGATTTAAAGGGCAGTAATGAGAATTAGCAGTTTTATTGTTTCCACCTTCCTAAAGGTTAATGAGATTATCTTAAGCAATTTTTTGAGTCTCAGAAATAAGTGCAATTTTCAAACAAATGCGATCATATTTAGCTTAGATTTTATACATTAATCAAACCTCTTTCATCATTCTCTTTTTCAGCTTTTCCAAACAATGGACTCCAAAATATGGAGGCATCTAATAACGCTGGTTAAACGTTTCACTGTATACTCCAGAACAGCAGTTCTCAAAGTGGGGTCCATGTACCCCTGGGAATTCCTAAGACCCTTTTCAAGGGGTTTGTGAGCTCAAAATTGTTTCCATAATAATTCCAAAACAGTTTTTGCTTTTTTCCCCTGCTTTCTTATTTACACTGTAGCGCAACAGCAATCGAGGGTAAAACTGCTGGTATTTTAGCATATACCTAGGCAGTGGCATTAAACTGTTTCACTGACACACGTGCTTAATTTAAAAAATTAACAAAACAAAACCAGTTTTAGTGAAGAATGTCTTTGATAAAGCAGTAAAATTTTTATTATATTTTGACCTCAGAGTACAAGTGGTTGAGTGAAACAGGTGATACAAATAAAGCACTTCAGCTGCAAACCAAAACATGCCAGTTGATTCCATGAAAGGCATTAGTGCAATTGTTTGAACTGTCAGCTAAGTTGGCTGCTTTTTTCTTGGAATATCATTTTTTACTTGCAAGGACATACAGCAGACAAATACGGCTGTTGAGACAGTATCCGGCAGATATTTTCTTGAAAATGAGTGAAATGAGTCTATCACTTCAAGGAAAACATCTGATAGTATTTGTTGTCCTTCATAAAATTTGAATTCTCAAGTGAAAATTAGAATTTTGTAAGGTTCAGATCCATAGATCCACCACTGTGAGTTTAAAAGTTTCAGGATACTTATCAATTCTTCTAATGATACAGATGCTGATATTAACAAATGTGACTTGTTGATAACATATATAATCATGTGTCAACATTTAGAAAATCTGCCTAAGTTGGTAAGTTTTCAAAATGACCAATGCACAATGTTATAAGATCCTCCAAGAGTAAAAGATCCTTTTGAAGAGCAAGATAAACCAAAGGATTTTTATATATCAAAGTACAAAGTTCATTAATATGATCTCAGATTTCACACTGCAACCAATCTTTAGGAGAGGAACATTTCTGGAGTTTTGATATAATAAAGAATATCCATAATTTCCTGGAAAAGAAATTAAAATACTTCTCCCTCTCCAACTACACATATGTGTGAGACTAAATCATATACTTCAACCAAAAACAAAACAAAATGAAAACATTGCAACAGACTGAATAAAGAAGCTGATAGGAGAATCCGCTGTGTGCTTAATATTAAGCCAGATATTAAAGATATTTACAAAAATGTAAAATAATGCACTCATCTCACTACTCTTTTGCTTTGGTAAAGATATTTATGCTTCATTTAAAAAATACATTATCATTAACATGTAATGAATTTATTGTTACTTTTAAAGCAATTAATAAATATTTTAAATGTCTCAGTTTTAATGTCTAAATGATAAATACTAATAAATATAACCCATATAAACAGAAGGTCTTTGGGGATCTCAATAATTTTTAAGAATGTGAAGGAGTCCTAGGACTGAGAAGTTTGAGAACTACGACACTAGAGACACAGGTGGAAGAGTCCTGTTTGTAAAGAGGGTTGCTCTTGAGACTCCACAGTATCCAAGGACCATACCTGCTTGGCAAAAAATATTGTGTCAAGTCTGGAGTCCTGAACCACAGAGCCTGCTGGTTCTTCTCCTGGCTGCCACTTGAAAAGAAAAATCAACCCATGAACTGGCCTACAAAACAAAAAAATACAAATTAGTGACACCAAACCTTGCTTCTTTTAACACACTGTCAATATGTTAAGTTTTGGTCATTTACTTAACAAATACAATGCAAATGAAGTAAATTTGAGAAATTTTTTAAAGATTTCTATTGCTGTTCATAGTTACTAGAATGTTGCCCAAGACACAGCTAACAAAACTTAAAAAAAATACATCAATTAAAATGGAATTATAATGAAAGGAATAATCTCAAATCTGTGCATTATTCAATTCTACCTTATATTACCTCACTTAAAAACAGAAAGAACATAGCAAAACTAGAAGAAGCTGTTAACCCTAGACTGAATTCTGATATACATGAATAAAGTTCACATAGGATGTTTACAGATAAATGGCTGCTAGCATAAATACTAAGAAATATAGGACGTCACCTTCATATAATTATTGGATGCATGAGCAACCGTCACACTACAGTATGACTGGATGTTGCATCTCACACATAATGAAATCATCACCTCCCCAAAGGAACGGTTGTTGCCCACAAACCGTTAAATCACCACTTTAGGATTCTCTCCAGCCTATCTTTCACCACTGCCTTCCATGCAACAAAAATCTTTCCTATCCCTTAAAGACAGGTCAAATGATGCATCTTTAATTAACCTTCCCTGATCATCCAGCCAGAATTTCTCTCTTATTCCATCTAAAATGACTGCTCTCTTTGTGGGGAAGAAGAAGATAGGGGGGAGGGAACTGTCTCCTTACTATAAAAAACATATCCCCACAGTCCCCATTCCAGGACCTAAGAATGCTCCCCGCAGTGAAAACTCCCTAGCCCTCCATTTGCAATCCAGAGTCAATGCTTGGAGGTTGGGGGTTAAGGAGAGGCCCAGAGAAATCAGGACAGAGTAAGAGGAAGGTACTTCCTGGCATCAATATTTGGAATCTGAACTGTAACCTCCCCAAGAAGCAATGTAATAATGTATAAAAAAAAGTTCTGGGACTTCCCTGGTGGCGCAGTGGTTGAGAGTCCACCTGCCAATGCAGGGGACACGGGTTGGAGCCCTGGTCCGGGAAGATCCCACATGCCGCGGAGCAACTAAGTCCGTGCGCCACAACTACTGAGCCTGCGCTCTAGAGCCCATGAGCCACAACTACTGAACCCACGCACCTAGAGCCCGTGCTCTGCAACAAGAGAAGCCACCGCAATAAGAAGCCCACGCACTGCAATGAAGGGTGGCCCCCGCTCGCCACAACTAGAGAAAGCCTGCGTGCAGCATGAAGACCCAACACAGCCAAAAATAAATTAATTTTTTTTTAAAGTTTTGAATTACTATTAATATACATTATCTGTCAAATACAGTTTTGTAGACTGGCCTATTATTTCATGTGTTTTATGTTAAAATGCGTTCCATGTTCTAACAGTATTGATCTATAAGTGAAAGTTGTAAAAAAATCAACCCATCGGTACTTTGTTGATATGGAATTACAGAGACTTAGTTTTGAATCCCTTGCAAATTACTTATCTATGAGCCTCAGGTTCTTGGTTATAAAATGGGAATAATACCTACCTCACACAGTTGAAAAAAATCTTAAAGGAGATAATGTGTTCAGCCTAAGGTAACCCAAGTAAAATAAACTCATGAAAGTTTGCTTAAGTATAGACATATTACTTTTAACATAAGTAAGAACATACTTACTTTAATTTTTCAAAATTCTCAGGCTCTAAACTCCATATTTCTTCTACTTGGGCTCCTCGGCAACCTGAAATAAGAAATTATTTCTTCAGAAGACAAAATAACTCATTTTTTTTCCTTCGCCACTAAATAAAATATTAACTGAAAGAAAAGCACATTTGGGGGCGATAAGACATGACAAATTAAAATGGTAAAACTGATAAAGCTCACAGTCAAATCCTAGTCCTACCTTTACTATTTCCTAATTATTACAGTGGGAGTATATTCCTTTGACAACTTTAAAAAGTTTCAAGATTTATTTTCACTGGACACCACCCCATGGCTCCTTCTCAGTCTCTCTCAATCTCTGGCTCCTCTTCATCCACTCCCTTCACTCAGCTGCTATGTTTCCACAGCTCTGCCTGCAGCCCCCTTTTTTCCTTACTGTACACTTTATTTTTAAAGTGGTAATAGGGGCATCCCTGGTGGCACAGTGGCTGAGAATCTGCCTGCCAATGCAGGGGACACGGGTTCGAGCCCTGGTCCGGGAAGATCCCACATGCCGCAGAACAACTAAGCTCGTGTGCCACAACTACTGAGCCTGCGCTATAGAGCCCACGAGCCACAACTACTGAAGCCTGCGTGCCTAGAGCCCGTGCTCCGCAACAAGAGAAGCCACCGCAATGAGAGCCCGCACACCACAACAAAGAGTAGCCCCCGCTCGCTGCAACTAGAGAAAGCCCACGCACAGCAACAAAGACCCAATGCAGCCAAAAATAAATAATAAAACAAATTAAAAAATAAAGTGGTAATAAATAGCTACCACTTAACAGTGAATTTCAGAACACTATTTAGTTCTGACTCTTTTCCTAAATTCCAATTCTATACTTTAAAAATTTAATTTAATATCAACCACATCAGAGTCCCCCAAATATGTTCTTCTTCTACAACAGTGGTTCTTAACCAGGATGATGTTTTTTATGCCTCTGCACCCCCAACCCCCGCCAGGGAACATCTCAAAATGTCTGAAGACATTTTTACTGTCCCTACTGTCACTTGGGGGGCGGGGAGGTAGCATCTAGTAGGTAGAGGCCAGAGATACTGAACATCCTACATTGCACAGAATAGCCCCTGACAACAGAGAATTATCTGCCCCAAAGTGTCAAGACAAAATGAATTATCGGGCCCAAAGTGTCTAATCCCTGCAAGGCAAGGCAAGAGTACCAAGGTCGGGAACTGTGCTCTAGTAGTTCATATGGTGGTAATGGTGTACTGGTTAAGAGCCTGGCCTCCAAACTGCCAAGGTTTGAACCATGGCTCCTCCATTTACCGGCTATATGACCACTGAACCTCTCTGTTCCCCATACTCATAGAGCTGTTGTGAGAAATAAATGAGATAACTTACTATCTCATAAGGTAATTTATTATGCATGAGATACATTTAATACAATGCCTCGGCAAAATGTCAGGTAGCATTATGATCACAACAGAAAAAAACAGCCGTATTTACCAGTAACTGCAATGTGTAAAGTGCTCTGAATGCATTTTCTCTAATCCCTGCAAGGAAAGTATTATATGGAAGAGGCTTAGGGATGTTAGGTGTCTTATCTAAATTCACTACAACTAATATATGCCAAAAAGTTAATTAAAACCCATGTCTGGTTCCAAAGTCTGGGCACTTTCTATTGTTCCAGATTATTTTCAAGTGAGTGCTGGAGAAGCCTTTAGATCACATGCAAAAATCTGTGGTTTAAAAAAAAAATACTGGACCAACCAACTATGTGACTTTGGGCATTCATACCATTCAGTACCTCAATTTGCTCTGCTCAGCAAATATCTATTAGCTCCCACCCAAGCATTAAAGATACAGGTACAAGGAGAGTTACTTCATTATTTGTAGTAGAGAAGAACTAGAAACAACCTGAATGTCTAGAACAGGTTGCTAGACGTCCACATACATTAAGTTGGGAAAAAAAGCTTGTTTAAGTGTGAAGCTATATTTATACGTGTTATCAAGAAAGGGCACAAAAGAACACTAATGCACTTAACACTGGTTATGCTATTGGAAATCAACTGCAAAAAGGCCAAACGTTAAAACATTGCACATATCATACAAAAACACAACAAAAGTCACTGAATTAAAAGAGCCCCAAAATCTTTTGCAAAGGTATAATTTCAAGTGGTGACACTGTTTAAATAACCTTATGTTAGACACATACATATCTCTGTGTATGGAAAACATAGTACTTAATTGTTAGCATCTATCTCCTTATATACATTCAATTCTAATAATCCCCCTATGTACATTCAATTTCAAATAATGCATGGTATAATGGAAAGAGAAATAAGCAATGATTCAAGAGAACTGGGTTGTAATTCTAGCACTGCCTTTAAGTTCTTTACCTTGAGTGAGAACATGTCTTTGAGCCTCACTTTCCTGTTTAAAACAAGAATACTACCTGCTTCATCCAATCCACACAATTCTTGTGAGGTATACGTTCTCAAATACCAAACACAAAGAATCACCGTGCTGATTCCTCTAATATATTTTAGTAAAAAGTTGAGTGGGGTGGGGGGTAGGCTTTAAAAAGTTAATGATTCACTGGTATTTAACAAATACATTCAGTCCTCTGTATCCAACGGGTTCTGGGTCCGCGGATTCAACCAACCGCAGGTTGAAAGTATGTGCCAAGCATGGTATTAGGCCCTAACAAGGACAGGAAATAATAAACTATTTTAACAATGCTTAACAACTTCAACCTAGTAGGAAACAAGCTCATATAACTCAAAGACTGTGCAGTCTGCATATTTTGCATATAAAAGGTACACGGGATGCGTTATGGAAGTTAAGAGGTAGCCAACTATCCTTGCAGATCAGAAAAAACTTTAATGTATAGTTAAACTGGGGGACTTCCCTGGCGGTCCAGTGGTTAAGACTCCCTGCTTCCAATGCAAGGGGCTCGGGTTTGAACCCTAGTCAGGGAATTAAGAACCCACATGCCATGCAGCCAAAAAAATTAAATAAATAAATAAATAATTTAAAAATAGTTGAACTGGGTCTTAAATAGGATGACCAAATAATCTGTCATTCAAACCAGATCACTGCTTTTATTAAATTGATTTTACTTAATAGGACATTAAATAAATTTTTAAATTAAAATGTTTTAAAATATTTATATCTTGACTAACACATTTGTATTATAGTACTGGTGGCTCCATAAAACAGTCTATTCAAAAACCAATTCTAAAAATAATTTTCTTAATAATATACCTGGAGTCTTTCTCCCCAAGAAAAATACTCTTGGGGAGTATTTTTATAGCCTACATATAAGGCTATACTGTTTATTTATTACCTCTTGAGTGAACTTTGGTAATTTGCGTCTTTAAAGGCATTTGGACATGTCATCCAAGTTGTCAAATTTATTTGCATAAATATTAAAATATTCACTTATCCTTTTAATATCTGTAGAATCTGGGACTTCCCTGGTGGTGCAGTGGTTAAGAATCCGCCTGCCAACGCAGGGGACATGGGTTCAATCCCTGGTCCGGGAAGATCCCACGTGCCACGGAGCAACTAAGCCCGTGAGCCACAACTACTGAGCCTATGACCTAGAGCCCATGAGCCACAACTACTGAGCCCATGTGCCACAACTACTGAGCCCATGTGCCACAACTACTGAAGCCCTCACGTCCAGAGCCTGTTCTCCGCAACAAGAGAAGCCACTGCAATGAGAAGCCTGTGCACTGCAACAAAGAGTAGCCCCCGCTCGCCGCAACTACAGAAAGCCCACACACAGCAACGAAGACCCAATCCAGCCAAAAAATAACTATTTAATTTTTTTAAAAAATCTGTAGAATCTGTAGTGATGTCATCTCTCTTATTCCTGATATTGGTCATTTGTCTCCGCTCTTTCTTCTGATCAGTCTGACTACAGGTTTATGCATTTTATTGATCTTTGAGAAACCAGCTTTTGGTTTCATTGACTTTCTCCACTATTTTTCTCTTTTCTGTTTTACTAATTTCAACTCTGATCTCTATTACTTCCTTTTATCTGCTTACTTTAGGTTTAATTTACTCATCTTCTTCTAGTTTCTTGAAGGGAAAGCTGAGGTCACTGATTTGTTGTAGTAAATCTAGTCCCTGTTACTCTATCTTGGCTGGAAGCAGAAATATACAGCCTCTATTTTTAATTAGTAGACTATCCTAGTTTGCTTTGCTGCATTTATGAATTATGTATGCATTGTATCAATTAAAAGTATAGTTCTACTCCAACAGTTTCTTAATTTAATAAGAACTTTGTTTTACCATGACGTTATATTCCACCAAAAATTTTATTTAATATATTCACTGAACTCACAAATAATTTCCCCTTCAATGAAGAAACTTAAATCTACAATAGCATTCATAATACAATAAGATGTTTCACTTTTGAAAGAATAAACTTCCAAAGGTTTTTTTTTTTTTTTTTTTTTTTTGTACGCGGGCCTCTCACTGTTGTGGCCTCTCCCGTTGCGGAGCACAGGCTCCGGACGCTCAGGCTCAGCAGCCATGGCTCACGGGCCCAGCCACTCCGCGGCATGTGGGATCTTCCTGGACCGGGGCACGAACCCGTGTCCCGTGCATCGGACTCTCAACCACTGCGCCACCAGGGAAGCCCCTAAAGGTTTTTTAAATCCGTGAATTGAATGAGGAAAAAAGAAAATGACTGGAATAAACTCAGTCTCTTTGAAGCATCTGATGGTGATATACAACTACCATCATTTAACTTTTTGCAAAGTTCTTCTTCTGCTAATTAAACCAGTCTAATAACTACAGCTTCAGTTTTCATTTGTGCAGGTACAGAAGGTGCAGTTCCATGGCAGTCTCTTATGCATGCTTTTATTTAAATCATTTTCAATTCCAAGTTTTCTGCACGTACGAAATTGGAGCAAAAGCTGTTAACAGAATGGACTAATTTTAAAATAAACAAATTTGCCTGATACAACGTTTCTTAAGGTTAACTCTAACATGTCATAATAGTTAAGGTTTTGAAGGTAAAGTTTATGGCTTAAAACCTGCAGACATCTCAAACTCAGTGTATGTCCAAAGCTGAACCCACTTTCTTGTCCATTAAGCCTACTCTTCTCTTGTACTTGTACTTCACCAGTCTCCCAAGCTAGAAACTAGAGTCATTGTCACCTCTTTTTCCCTACATCCCAGTAGTTAACAGTCCTGTGGATTTAAATATAGCAAAAATTATTGAATCGACCTCCTCCTCTCCAAATCACTACTTTATGTGTGGAGCCAATCATCTCAAATTCTGACCATTTTAAGAGGCTTCTAGCTTCTCTTACTTCACGCCAATCTACCCTGCACACTACCAGTAGTAAATCTTTTTAAATTATAAAAATATCATTTCAGCCTTGAAATATCTTTGACAGTTAAGTCCCCAGGGACTACAGGGCAATCCATACTACACAACATGGCACACAATCTGGCCTCAGTTTACCTTTTCAGCTTCGGATTGAAATACTCCTGAAGTCTGTTACATTATGTTTTAGTCACTTTCCCAGCTGTTCCCTAAGTCATATACTTTACCACCACTACTGTTTATACCTTTCCTTCTGCCTGTGCTCTTCCACGACCTGTGTGTACCTACTCTAATGTAGCAATTAATATGCCATATTATAATTTGCTTGTCAGTTCTTTAGAACAGCAGTCATGCTTTATTCACATTAAAAATATCCAAACCCTACCAATGTGTCAGACATAGCAGGTAAACAATATATGCCCAATACAAGATATCCAAACAGTCAGCTACGTACAACAAACAGTTATCTATATCAATGTTGAATTTCCACCTCAAGTACAAGTTTTAACGTAAGAGCTAAAATTAATACTTGAGAAATAACAGATAAAAATAAACTTACAGCCAAAGAAGAGCTGCAGGGACAGGGAAGGCTACAAAGTCAAATATGTTGGGTACTTAGGACCAGAGATAAGGAACAGAGTCAGAAAGAAATTACGAGGTAAGCATGTGGCCTCTGGAGCACTAGGTGGAGAAAGCACACTTCCCCGGAGGCCACAAAATGAGCAGAACGAGCGAGGTGGTCCGTGCGTCCCACGCGGCCAGCCTGTGCGGACGTTCGCAGGGCTGGGCACACACTCGAGGGGTTCTGCTCCGAATAACTCGAATGTCAGGTTCCGGGGCGGCTTGGGCCTTGGACACCCCACCCTCGACAAGGCGCATCCGACTTTTCCTGTAGCACCGATGCCCTGAGACACGTACCTGGGCACCCCTGCCCGGAATGGGGGCGCCCCGTGGTGCAAAGGGAAGAATCGGTACGTAAAGTGGGGGTGGTGGGAACCGGGGCTCAGGTCAGTGAAGCTAGTACTGGAGCGCCGAGTTCCGGGGACACGCTCCTGCCCTCGCGGTGTGGCTCTCAGATCACCACGGAAACGCGACTGGCCGGGACCAAGGAGGGACCGGAGCCCTGCCTTTCCCCCTCCCCGACTCCACGGTTAGAGAGTCGCCTCCCTTCAGACGCTGGGCGGCGGCGGCCCCAGGGAAGCACTCCGTGCCCAGATCAGGCCTCCTCCCGTGACCCCCGGCCCAGGACGGTCCCCTTGGCTCTCACCGAATCCTTTAATGAGCTCGGTGAAGACCCCGGGGTCGCTTTCCATGAGGCACCACTCCCCAGCATTGCCCGTCATGGCCCCGGCCACACACCGCCCCGCTCCACCTCCGGCTCCGGCACCCCCCAAATCCAGCCGCCTCCGGCCACTGAGCTCTGCAAACCCGCCGTTGGCTCGTCAACCTCACGTCACCCCGCCTACTTCCCGACAGCCTCCGGGCGCCGTCACCTGCAGCGCGACAGAGAGCGGGAGGACGCTCTAGCCACCCAAGAGACGGCGAAACTCTTTCTGGGCCGCGCAGGACCCGGAGCCGATTCCGAGGGGCCAGGGCCGCCGAGAAAGGGCGGGATTTGGGGCGCCGGAGGAGGGAACATCCGGGACTCTCGCCAGTCTGGGGCGGGGGCGGGGCACGCCCAGGTGGGCGGGGCTCGTTCCCGGGAGCCGAACCGGGAGACCCGGGCGGCGGAGTCGGAGCAGGCGCCACCCCTAAGGCTGATGCGCGTCGTCTTTCGGCGGCGTGGCGCAGCGCTTCTCCCGGTGGCGCGGCGGCTTCGGAGGATCGGCCGCCGGGCACAGGTGAGGACACCGCGAGCGGCCGGCTGGCCGGGGCCCTTTGTGCGGTCTGAGCGGCGCCTGGGTCCGGCCGGTCCTCCGTGGCCCTCACCCCGCATCCCCGCGGCCGAGGCCGGAGCAGACGCTGCGCCGACCAGTCTCCCTCCCCGCCTCCGTGCCCTGCCGTCCTGGGTGGTTAGACCTACACCTCTGCTGGGCCGGGCCCTTCCCGAAGCGGGGGTCGCTCCCGCTTGTACTTGCGGAGCTTCTCGCAGGCCGGCGTCCCAGGGGCCCGCTTTCCTCCTCCCCCTCCTTCTCCTCCTCCTTTTCCTCCTCCCGCCGCTGCTGCGCCGAGAGGCGTTGCCCGGCCTCTGGGCTTCGGGAAGAAGGATCTTTGTGAGAAGACCGAGGACGAAATTTGTCCTGGAGGGAATGACGAGGGACAGGAGACGATCCGTCCTGTCGTCGGTGGGGCTGATAGACAAGTGTAAAGGCGCGCGATGCCTCCAAGGCACATGAGGTTGAAAAATGTAGTGTGTTCATCTGAAAATATTTGTAATGGTCTTAAGACTAAAAGATGCGTTAAACCAAAAATGGCTGTCTTCACTAAATCACGAAACCCCATTCACCAGGCCCTTGCACAATAGTAATGTTAAAACTAAAATCTTTCAGAGTAGTAGTGTTTATGCATCACTCCTTAAAGCTCTGACTTCCAAGAAGGGCCCTTGGCTTCCAGAAAAAAAAAAAAAAAAGCTTTACTTGGTAAAACTCGGATTCTTTGCTTCTCAAGCAGGAGGACCTGTGCCCTGGAATAAGGGAACCTTGTCCTGCAGGACTATGTGAAGCTACGAAATAAACATGATCATTTTACTGAGAGAAACAGCGGCACAACTTTTATATGAAAACAACCGTGGTTATATTATGGAGTAGAAGACAAAATGTATGTCAGGGGTTAGATTAAAAAAAAAATTTTTTTTTTGGAAACTTTCTTGAAGTTTGCGCCTCGGAGACTGTGTCTTCAAGCTGGTGGGGGGCGGGAGAGGTATCTGTTCTGTTAAATATACTTAAATGGGAAAGTCTGTGTGGCACAGGAGTCTAGCCTTATTTCCTTATGAACCATGCCTGGAATGAGTGTCATCAGAGCCCAAAGCTGTTTGCAGGAATTTGCCGTATTTTCTTAATCTGCAGTATTGCTGTGAACTTGAAAATGTTTTTGGTGCTAAGTAACTATTGAATACATCAAAAGTAACATCTGATACCCAACTGAACATGGTGCCTATTGTAGAAAGACCAAACTGAAAGTTTAGCCCTTAAAACAACCTATAAGTAATCAGAATGGGGGGGTGTCAAATTTCTTTATGTTGTTAACATTTAATCCTAAGAGGTCACGTAAAAATCCAGATTTCTGAGTTTTTGAGAAAAATGAGAAGATCTGGCAATATGAGGCCCAAACTACATGACGGCCAGTTGGCTAAAAGGTGTATTCCTTCAGGATGTCATGCTGTCATGTCTGCTCCAGTTCCTAACCACTTTTTTTTTTTTTTTTTTTGCGGTACGCGGGCCTCTCACTGTTGTGGCCTCTCCTGTTGCAGAGCACAAGCTCCGGACGCGCAGGCTCAGCGGCCATGGCTCACGGGCCCAGCCGCTCCGAGGCGTGTGGGATCCTCCCGGGCCGGGGCACGAACCCGTGTCCCCTGCATCGGCAGGCGGACTCTCAACCACTGCGCCACCAGGGAAGCCCCTTCACCACTTTTTATTGCATCACCCTTGACTTGATTAGCTCATGTCCATTTACCAGTCTGAGTGATACAGCTATATGAATTAGTTACCCCCGTGTTTACAGTATTGTTTCTTTCAAACTGTCTTGCTCTCATAGATGTAAGTCAGCTTTGACTCCATTTAAAAAGGAATAAGCTGCAAACTTGTTTGACCTCTTGGGATGAAAGGGAGCCTTTTCAAGTGACAAATGATCAAGAGACTTGGGAAAGATATTTAGATGTGTACATTCAAGAAGAATGTAGGAATCCGTAGAAGTAATATATTATTAGCACTGTTAAACGTTACTATAGATGTTCTAGTTCCAGCGAATAAGAAGAAGAACTAGTGCTATTGCATACTGTGTATTACTGCCATTCACTGGTTTTGCATTCAAAATTAGGGAAAAGAGAAGTGGGCAATGTATAAAATATCCACAACCAATTTCAGAGTGTGGCCGTGTTTTTAATGATATTGTGATCTGTTTGATTTCCTCTCAAAATTTTGATTTATAGACGTTTAATACAACTTTAGCTGTATTACATTTCCTTGGAGGGGTGTTGCTTTAAGAGCACCGAAGAACGGGTCAGGCCAACTGAAAGAAGAATTAACTATCTTTTGTTTGTTTGTTTGTTTGTTAATCTGGATTTACAACACTTGATTATTCAGGAGTGGATTAATTGATGACCAGGCTTTGACCTCACTCACTGCCCAACTGCCTTCTAAACCACTGACACTGGAGCTTAAGCTTTGAGAAGGGTGATGATAACATTTGGGGAAGGAAGAAATTAAGGTCCTGTATATGTATGTCTGTGTGTATCTCAAATTTCTTTCTAAAGACAAATATAAAAAATGTAGGGTTAAATATCACTTAAATGCTTATCTATTTAAATAACTTTCCAAATATATTTCACCTAGTCAATTTTTAATTTTTTTTAATAACAGATTTTTGAGATAGAATTCACACATCACATTCAGTGGGTTTTAGTATATTCACAGAGTTGTGTAACCGTCACCGCTATCTAATTTCAGAACATTTTCATCACCCCTAAAGAAACCCTTTACCACTTTGGAGAACAATCTAGCAGGTCCTCAAAAGGTTAAATATAGAGATATAATGATGCAACATTTTACATTCCACTAGCAGTATATGAAGGTTCTAATTTCTCCAAATCCTCGCCAACACTCATTTATTATCATTTTGATTATTGCCATTCTAGTAGGTGTGAAGTGGTATCTCATTGCAGTTTTGATTTGCATTTCCCTGATGACCAATGATATTCAGCATCCATTTTTGTGTTTGTTGGCCATTTGTATACCTTCTTTGAAGGCATACCTAGATAGGTTCTCTGCCTATTTTTTAATTGGGTTATTTATCATTTTATTATTTAGTTATGAGTTCTTTATATATTATAGACACAAATTCCTTATCATATGTATGATTTGCAACTATTTTCTCCCATTCCATGGGATGTCTTTTTTGCTTGCTTTGTGGTGTCTTTTGAAACACAGTTTTAAATTCTGATGAAGTCCAGTCTATTGGTTTTTTTCTTTTGTCACTTACAGCTTTGGTGTCTGTATTTTAAGATCAACTCAGTTCAGTTCCAGAGTTAGCATCAGATCCCCCAAGTGAAAGGGCAGGATCCCAAACAGATTGCCCTTACTTCAGACAACAGCTTCAAATAAGGTCCCAGTCCACCCAACTAGGCTTCCCACAATGTGCTCAGGGTCAGTAATTCACTAGAATGACTCAACTCCCTAAAAGCACCATCCTTATGATTACAGTTTTATTATAAAGGATGCAGCTCAGGCACAGCCAAATGGAAGACCCGCTCAGGCCAAAATCTGGAGGCAGTAGAGGGATTCCTTCTGTTTGTAGAATCCTGGCACATCACAGTCCCAGCACATCAGTGTTCACCAACTGGGAGTCTCTCCTGAACTTTTTTTTTTTAAGATTTATTTATTATTTATTTTATCTTATTTATTTTTGGCTGCATCGGGTCTTAGTTGCGGCGTGTGGGATCCTCATTGAGGCACGCGGGATCTTTCGTTGGGGCGCGTGGGCTCTTTATTGTGGCGCTCAGACCTCTCTAGTTGTGGCATGTGGGTTTTCTCTCTCTACTTGTGACGTGCAGGTTCCAGAGCAAGTGGGCTCTGTAGTTTGCGGCACTCGGGCTCAGTAGTTGGAGCGCACAGGCTTAGTTGCCCCGCGGCATAAGGGAGCTTAGTTCCCTGACCAGGGATCAAACCCATGTCCCTTACATTGCAAGGTGGATTCTTTACCACTGGACCACCAGGGAAGTCCCTCCGCTGTACTTTGTTGTCCAGAGTTTGTATGTGGGGTTTCATGACTAGGCATGATTGATTAATTCATTGACCCTGTGGTTGAGGTAAGTCGCTGGCCTTCCTTCCCTCCTGGGAGGTTGATCTGGCCTAAAGTTCCAACCTTCTAATCAGATGATTGGTCTTTATGGTGACCCCCAACTGGAAGCAATCCAAAGACCCAGGATGAGTCACCTCATTAGCATAACAAAGATACTCCCATCAATCAGGATATTTCAAGGTTTTTTTTTATTAACTCTTTTTAAATTGAATAAAAGATTCTTTAAATTCTATAGTGCTTTACAGTTTTCAGAAGTTTCACACATATGATTTCATATCCATAATAACCCTTTTTTTTAAGCCTCTACCCCTATATTTCCCCTTCCCTCTTCCTTCTCCCCACTGTAACCACTAGTTTCTTCTCTGTATCTGTGAGTCCGCTTCTTTTTTGTTTTATTCACCAGTTTGTTGTAATTTTTAGAGCCTGCATGTGATACCATACAGTATTTGTCTTTCTCTGTCTGACTTATTTCACTTAGCATAATGCCCTCCAAGTCCATCCATGTTGCTGCAAATGGCAAAATTTCGTTCTTTTTTATAGCTGAGTAGTATTCCATTGTGTATGCATATACCACATCTTATTTATTCATTCATCTGTTGATGGACACTGAGGTTGCTTCCATACCTTGGCAATTGTAAGTAACGCTGCTATGAACATTGGGTGCGTGTATCTTTTCGAGTTAGTGTTTTTGTTTTTTTCGGATATAAACCCAAAATGGTATGTGAAGCCCTGTGAGAACCATGGACAAAAATCAGATATTCTTCTTTTTTTTTTTAACACAATTTTTAAAGTTTACAAATTATTCATTTAACAAATATGACTGATAAGCAGGAATAGCCAGGTTGAAGTAACACCAGAAAGAGTGTGTTTTGTTAAATCTAAAGGAGAGGCCAGCAATGTCAAAAAATTTCTACTGGAATTAGCAATTAATGTTATCAATCTTTGAGAAGGCTCTTAGCCTTTTTGGATTGAAAGGCAGAGGTAAATGCCATATTGAAAAGGGGGTACAAACACATAGAAAAAGCAACATCCACTGCACCAGGAGTTTCAGCCTGTGCTGTACTCAGTCACTATAAATCAGTCCATAATGACTAATGTAATATGATCATTTCGTCTCTGACACCACCTGAAGCCTAGGCCTGCGCTGACATAATCTACTTTATGTCAGCGCTTTATTTGGAATATTGACACTGCTGTTTCCGGCACAATTCAAATCACTGTCCCCCTTAGTCACATTCACAATGTGAGGCTTTCTTCCCAGCACTTATCTCTGCACCATTGTGTGTTCCCCCCTCTGAGACCCAGTCTGTCATTGCTCCCTAACTCACCCAATTTCCCTGCATTGACTCCCTCAAACGGATCATTACCCATAACCTTCACCCTTAGTGGAGGAGATACCTCTTCTGCTGTCAAGGGCTAGTCTCAGCCTGGATGCTCTGAAGCTTCTTTCAGGGATCTCATTCCCTCACTTACGCCCTTTCTCTGCTGTCTTCACCTCTCCAAATTGAAGTTTGAACCTCAACCTCAGTGTCCTCTCATCTGAAAAGGTAAAAAGATTTTTCCTCTAGCTCCTGCCTTCTCTCTTACCTTCCCTTTAGAACGTTGCTTCTGTGCAAGAGTAGTCTACCTGTGAAGTCTCTTCATCGCTGCATGCCCTCCTGACCTCACTAGAATCAAGCTATTTCTTGCAGCGCCCAACTGCGATTGCCTTTCCTCGGCATTCCTGTTGCCAACTTCAGCCTTACTTGATTGCTGAGCATTTGACATTACCAGCCATTCACTCCGTGAAATTCTCTTCCTTGTGGTCTACGATACCACTGTCTCCTGATTTTAAGTCTATGTGCCTCTCCTTCCCTTTCTTCTTCAAAGGGCCCTTTTCTCCTCAGCTATTTTTTAATTGTTAATACTCACCAGGATTCTGTCTTTAGCCTTCCCCACAGTATATAAACATGCTCAAGCTTGTATCATCTTCAGAACAAAATATCTTTTACCTGTGTTCCTCTTTAAGCTACTACCTTACCTGTCAACATTTCTTCGCAGTATATTTAGTTCCTTTTCTAAAATTTAAAGACACAGCAAGATTTCATGTACCCCTTCCTGGAATGTGCTCCCCAAACTTTATATGCCAGTTTTTCAGTCTTCCTGGATTATTGAGACAGCATTATTTTACCTTCCTCTGCTCATTCACTTTTCTGTTAAAGCACTTGATTACAGCTTGCTTTGTATTATGTATAAATTTCTACCTCATCAAATAGACTGTGATTTACCTGAGGGCAGGAAAAAAAGTTTTTAAAATCTTTTTAATGGAACAGAAATCTCCTTCACGCCTCACACACAGTATGCAGTAAATGCTGGTTGAGGATTTTTTGTTGGTTGTTTGCCATGGGGAGAAGCCCAGTGCACTGTAGTGGCCCAGGCAGGAAACCTGAAGATAAACAGCTGTCCTATAGTGAGAGAAGCGGTGGACCGATAAAGTAGTGGATGATTGTGGTTACTCCCTTTGGAGGAGAAAAAGGGATATTGCTGCCAGACAGCTAGTTCTAGTAGCTTCAGAGATAATGCAAGGAGGAAAATGTGGGTAGTCACAGATGAAGTAAACTATAAATGAGCACGGTTGATACAGGATGTTAATCAGTTAACATGCTCTCAGCTACAGGTAACAAAACTTATCAATGGCTTAAACAATAAGGATATACTTATGATATATTAGGACATTTCTAAGTAGGGCAGTTACAGGTAACTTGATGATATCAATGACCCAGATTCCTTCTTTTTTTTTTTTTTTTCTTTCTGTTGCTTCCATCCTTATAAGTTAGTTTGTCTTCTTAAAGTGGCACCCCCCCATGGCTCAAGATAGTTGACACCACTTCAGGCATCATGTGCAGAGGAGTATGTCAAGGCAGAAAGGGGACCATTCCTTTTTAAGAGCCCAAGCCCCTTTTTAAGAAGGAAGAAAACCTCATAAGTATAACCAGCAGACTTATTATGTCTCACTGGTGGGAGTTGTGATACTTGCCCAATACCTGTACCAGTCACATGGCAAAAGGAATGAGAGCATCACCTGGGGACTTGTGATAAGTATGAATGCTTAGGCCTCAACCAGACATACTGAACTATGAAAGAAACTTCGGGGCGGGCTGGGGGCGGGTGTGGGGGAGGGTGGAACCCATCATCTTGTGTTTTAACTAGCACTTCAAGTAATTTTGATGCACGCAGAATTTGAGAACACTGGCTTAGCGCAATCAAGATTCATCCCTTGGGGCTGGGAAATGTCCCCTGAAGGGCATTCCTACCAGAAAGAGGATAAGACAAGGGGGAAGGGAGGAACAGATGTTGGATACACAATTAAAAATGTCTACACTGTTATTCAGGAAGTAAAGTGAGTGTCAGCCCCCTGTCTATGTCAGTGACTATTGCCGCTCCTTGTATTCTCCTCCATCTGGTCCTGTAGACTCCATGCTGAACTGCCTGCTCAGTCTCTGAAGCAACAAGCTATACCTCAAAAATGCGACTTCTTAGCTTTTGCTTCTGATCGTTATACCACCAGTTACTGAGCTTAAGAAATATTTTTAAATTAAAAGATTTCATGGCAGATTTCAATAAGCATAGATGAATAAATAATTTTCCTTTTTAGAATTTTCTTGTTTCTAGCTAAAATAACATTTTGCTTTTTGACAGTTTCCTAGAAGACAAAAAAATGGAGGAATTGGTAAACCAAATGCAGCCGCTGAATGAGAAGCAGATAGCCAATTCTGAAGATGGATATGTGTGGCAAGTCACTGATATGAATCGGCTGCAGCGGTTCTTGTGTTTTGGTTCTGAAGGTGGGACTTACTCTATCAAAGAACAGAAGTTGGGCCTTGAGAATGCTGAAGCTTTAATTAGATTGATTGAAGATGGCAGAGGATGTGAAGTGATACAGGAAATAAAGTCATTTAGTCAAGAAGGCAGAACTGCAAAGCAGGAGCCTATGCTCTTTGCCCTCGCCATTTGTTCCCAGTGTTCTGACATAAGCACAAAACAAGCCGCTTTCAAAGCTGTTTCTGAAGTTTGTCGCATTCCTACACATCTCTTTACTTTTATACAATTTAAGAAAGATCTAAAGGAAAGCATGAAATGTGGCATGTGGGGTCGCGCCCTCCGGAAGGCCGTAGCAGACTGGTACAATGAAAAAGGTGGCATGGCCCTTGCCCTGGCCGTCACAAAATATAAACAAAGAAATGGCTGGTCTCACAAAGATCTGTTAAGATTGTCGCATCTTAAACCTTCCAGTGAAGGTAAGCGTAAGATCTTCATGCGGGGGGTGAGGTGCCAATATCCAACAAATAGCAAATTTGTATTTGACATAAGACAGTTGTGTAATATTTTCTAGAAATAGCCTTTAATTCTCAGAACACATTGATTAATTCATGTATGTTTAATGCCAACCTGGAATTAAACACCTAGACATTAATGATCAAGAATCAAATGACAGATTTGCAGCTTGATATTCTAAATCTTAAAATGTCACCATGCTAACTAGAATGCTCACCCCCTTGATTATGGACTATGAAAGCAGCATGGATATGATTAAAGTTGTAGGAATCAAAACGGCTCCTAGCCAATAGATGGCAGATAGCCAGGCTGTACTGCTTTAGCCCCTTTTCTCCCTCCCTGTATTCCTAGGACATATGTTCCGTGGAACCTAAAGGCCACCCAAAGTAGTGCTGAACTTAACAAGTCAGGATGGTAGTTGTCTCCACGCGGTCAGCCAGGGGTCATGGTGACTTGGGGCAGTTTTTCTATGTCTATGGGAAGAGACTTTTGAAAAGTTAGTTGGGTCTACAATGACTCTTTAGTCCTTCTTAGAAGGGAAATAAGAAAAACTTTTGCACGGGAATAAATTTAAGTGTGAACTTTCACAAAATGAACATGTCCAAATTTGACATTTTTTTTTTTTTACAGCAGAAGTGAAACTTGAAAAGACAGCCCCTCAGATGGGTTCAAATTTCAGTTCTACTTATTACTTTGTGTCCTTACACCAAGTAACTTAACCTTTCCGAGTTTCTGTATCTTCATCTATTAAAAAAGGTAGAAAAGGAATAACTCTTAAAACTATTGTGACTAAATGTGATAGTGTGTATTACAATACTTCCACAGTTCCTGGCATGGAGTAAAGGGCAGTGTCGGTTCTCTCCCCTCCCTCCCACATAGCTTGTGTAATGATACCTTCATACATAGTATCTCCTCAGTAATTCTTAATTTATCCCTTGTTTTTTTTAATTACAAATGGACTTTTTCAAATGAAGTTTAAGCAGTAAATTACTGCAAACATTTATGTATATAAACACGTTTATGTTTTGATTTTTTATTAGACATTGCATGCTTGTTTTATTTACTTATTCATTCATTCATCCATTCATTCATTCATTCCACACGCAGCTTGTGGCATCTTAGTTCCCTGACCTGGGATTGAACCTGCACCCTCGGCAGTGAAAGCACGAATCCTACCACGGGACTGCCAGGGAATTCCCTACATGCTTGTTTTAAAGTAGCTGGATAATACAAAAAAATATAATGCAGAAAGTAGTCCTGCCCTTCAAAAGAAATCACTATACGTAGGTTGTATATTACTCCCGATTTTTCCTAAATATGTTTTATTTTTTTTTAATTTTATATACCTTCTTTATTTCAGTTAAAAGTATATTGATTTTTTTCAGGTCAGTAGAAATAATTGCATGTGTGCCATTATATGAATATAATTTATGTAGCTAGTCTCTTACTGATAACAGTTAAGTAGCTTCTGGTTTTTTTGTACTATTAAAAAAATACTACAGTGGGGCTTCCCTGGTGGCGCAGTGGTTGAGAGTCCGCCTGCCGATGCAGGGGACACGGGTTCGTGCCCCGGTCCGGGAAGATCCCACATGCCGCGGAGCGGCTGGGCCCGTGAGCCATGGCCGCTGAGCCTGCGCGTCCGGAGCCTGTTGCTCCGCAACGGGAGAGGCCACAACAGTGAGAGGCCCGCATACTGCAAAAAAAAAAAAAAATACTACAGTGAAAAACCTTGGTTAATATAAATGTTTCTATAATTTCTGTAATGCTTAAATCCACAAAGCGTGTGTGAAAGTGGCCCCTTTCCACACGTTTGAACACTGACTCTTTACTAGTGTTTTTTAATCTTTGCCAATGATAGGTAAAAAATTTTATCTTGTTATTTGAATTTATGTATTTGGGCAAAAGCTCAACTTTTCATGTGCTTATTGATTATTTATATTTTTCATGGATTATATTGTATCTTTTTTTATCTACCAAGTTGCTATTTTTAATATTATAAAAATAGCAATAATTATAGTCAACATTAATTCAACAAATATTTATTGAGCACCTACTGTAGATGGGCACTGTTCTCAGAAGTTGGAATACCAAGTATAGGAATTAATAATTTATTATTATATGCATTGTATGCACTTTTCCCCCATTTTTTTTCTTTGTCTTTTCGTTTTTTGATGGAGGGGGTTTCTGGCACAGTGAAGTTTGGAATTTTCATGTAATCAAACTTATCTGCCTTTGTTAGTACGTTTTTATTTTATGTTAGATTTAGAAAGGCTATTTCCAACCTAAAGTCATAAAAATACTTACCTGTGTTTTTTTCCCTAACATATTCACGGCTTAATTTTTTTAACTTTAAAAATTTCTTTAAATTTTTGCTCCAGTTTGAGGAGGCTGTAGGCATCCAGCTTTATTTGTCTATTGAGACACTATGTGGTGGTGTGGGCCTAAGTGCTAGTTCAAATTGGAAAAATTAGTTTCTGAATTTGTGCAAATAGTTATTCTAGTTTTGAATTCTTGGTCTATAAATTGAGAAATTAGTAGATATTCCCTAAACTTAGACCCACACATAGGATTCTTCAATTCTAGATTTTTGAGGGCAGAACTCATACTTGAAACCTTGTAATAATAGCAATATGTTTAGGTGTAGAAGATCTTTAGGCTTCTCAGAGCCTAGTGTTTGGAAACAAACTCTTAAGTTACCAAGTAAGTGACTGAAATGTGTATTTAAACAGATAAAACAATTCAAAGTGTGATTCAACTAATCACGTGTTTATTGTGTACCTACTGTGTGGCCAACTCAATTCTAGGACTTGAGGAAGATAAAAATAATAATAAGACAGACTTTCTGAAAGTTTTTTTTTTTTAAATAAATTAATTTATTTTTGGCTGCGTTGGGTCTTCGTTGCTGCACACGGGCTTTCCATTGCAGTGTACGGGCTTCTCATTGTGGTGGCTTCTCCTGTTGCGGAGCACGGGCCCTAGGCACTCAGGTTTTAGAAAGCACAGCCTCAGTAGTTGTGGCACATGGGCTTAGTTGCTCCGCGGCATGTGGGATCTTCCCGGACCAGGGCTCAAACCCATGTCCCCTGTGTTGGCAGGCAGATTTGTAACCACTGCGCCACCAGGGAAGCCCTGAAAGTTTTATTTTAGTTGGAAAGAATAGAAAACATGCTCACATGAAACATTAACTCATTTAAGGCAATGTAATATTTTGTACTAAGATCTGTAAGATAGCAAGAGTCACGATAATTTAGAAGTTCCTGCATGTTAGTACTAACTTTTGATCAAGTTTTTTAAATTAGAGTTCAGAAATAGCACATAGGCTCAATCTGCCTTAGAGATGTATTTTATTTGGCCTGCACCATATTTTAGAAAAAAATGAACTCTTTCGCAACATCACATAAAAATCCATATTGTACCTTCTTTTGAAAACACGGTTTTTTGGCAGCGGTGACCCAATATTTCACTAAAACATTTGTCAGGGCATTCTCTCTTTAGTTCACCACAGTGCTAACCACTCTCTCTTCTGTCAGTGGCCTCGTTCATTTATTTACTTTACCTACCATTCCCCCATAGACCCTGGAATTTAATAATTCAGTCTGTCCACTTCCCCCCTTTTACAGAAGTGGAAACTAAGGCCTAGAAAGATCACAGAGCCATTTGTTGACAACATGTAAGCTAGAACCCAGGTTTCCTCACTGCCCCCCAACTGAAAGCTCTTTCAGCTATTGAAAGGAATTGTAGAAGAAATGAACACATTATTTTCCCTTTTTAAGAAATTTGGCCTGTAATACTTTCTCAGCTATTAAAAAAAAAATCACAAATTACCTACCTACCTGTCTACTTCCACTTATCTCTACAATTTATAAATGCATATTTATTTAGCAGCTAAAGGGGCAAGAGAATATGAGATTAATTGAGGTAGATCTGTACTTTTGTGAGTTCTGAGATTGTGGACCTGAAATAGGCACTGTGTACCAAAGGTTCTAATGCTAGTGCTTCAAAAAAATAAATAAAAGCTCCGTAACGAAATGACTTAGGATATTGGAGCTTTTCCTCCAAAGTCTCATGTTGAAGCAGTTATGAGGGAATAGGCAAAATTAGCAGACTCCATTGGCTTAAATGTGTTTGTCATATCATAGAAAGTAGCATGTCGGTTTAAACTCCCGTGTATCTAGGTGTGCCTTTCACATAATGCGTTCTCCATAACATGTCCTGTTCTTTACCTTATAATCCTACATGCCTTTTTAATTCTTTATTTTGTTAAAGGACTTGCTATTGTTACCAAATATATTACAAAGGGCTGGAAAGAGGTCCATGAAATGTATAAAGAAAAAGCACTTTCTGTGGAGACTGAGAAATTATTAAAGTATCTGGAGGCTGTAGAGAAAGTGAAGCGCACAAAAGATGAACTGGAAGTCATTCATCTGATAGAAGAGCACAGACTGGTTAGGGAGCATCTCCTAACAAATCACTTGAAGTCTAAAGAGGTAAGCAAATTATAATATGTTAAAGCATGTGATTAAACACGAGGAACTTACGCTGTGTATTAAAAGGATAAATTGTGAGTAATGCTTTTAAAAAATAATACTTAAAAAAATTAATACTTAAAAAAAAAATTTTTTTTTTTTTGCCCCACCACACAGTTTGCAGGGTCTTAGCTCCCCAACCAGGGATTGAACCTGGGCCCCAGCAGTGAAAGTACTGAGTCCTAACCACTGGACTGCCAGGGGAGTTCCTAAAAAAATAATTTAAATATATCTTAAAATTAACGTTTATTTAAAACACGTAACACAATGCCCAGATGTAGTTGGCATTTTATAAATATTAGTTTCACTCCAGAAAATGTGCTGGTTCATTTGCCTCACTAATTAAAATAAATAAATAAAATTCTTATATGCAATTCCTTTACAAAATATACGTCACTTTCTTACTTACCCTAGTAAAGAGCAAGTTATTTTATTTGATGAGCCTTTGACCAGTTCACACCAATTTTTATTTAGAACGTGCTCTGAACCCCAAAAGAAACACTTAGTCTATGTTATTAATTGATACAGCTATGTTATACATATTCATTTACCCTTAATTCCTTATATTTCTATCTGTGTTATTGCAATAGGTATGGAAGGCTTTGTTACAAGAAATGCCTCTTACAGCATTACTAAGGAATCTTGGAAAGATGACTGCTAATTCAGTGCTTGAACCAGGAAACTCAGAAGTGTCTTTAGTATGTGAAAAGCTGTGTAATGAAAGACTGTTAAAAAAGGTAAGCATTACCTTTGTTAACTATTACTAATTGAAAAAGTTGGCTCCTAAATTTTGGAAATGCGGTTGGCACATTTTTTAGGTATTCAGAGACCAAGTTGCTTTGACTCTTAAATCTAAGATTAATATGTCCTCATTTTTCTCTTTTCTTTATGAAATAGATTTATTAGCCATAATAACAAAAATCTAAAAGAAATAGTTACTGTTTTTCACTTGAATTTGACATTTGCTTTCTGTCTTGGTTGTGTTTCTAGGCTCGTATACATCCATTTCATGTTTTAATTGCATTAGAAACGTACAAAACAGGTCATGGGCTCAGAGGAAAACTGAAGTGGCGCCCTGATGAAGAAATTTTGCAAGCTTTGGATGCTGCTTTTTACAAAACATTTAAGGTAATGGTTTGATTTTTATTTTAAAACAAAAGGCCCAGTTAGGATTTAATATCACATTTTAAAGATGATATTAGTAGTTTAACCATTTTTGATTATTCATTTGTTTTTTTCTTAGTTCATGTGAAAATGAATATATAATTAACATTGTAAGCTTATGAATAAAGTACTTCTCTCTACCTTTGGACAACAACCAGTTATCCTAAGATCATTTTGATAAGTTTTAAGGTACCAAATTAAAAACTTTGCATTCCTCTGGAGCCCTGTGACTTGGTCCTCTGTCCTCTGTTTTTCTGTTAATCAGTAGTAGGTCTCTTCTGTCTTGATAGGAAGTAATTTTTTTAGGAATGGTAAATTTTATGTTATTTGTATTTTACCACAAAAAACTTTCTTACTAGAAATTCCCAGTTTACTTCATGTGGAAAGATTTTTAAAAAAATGAAGATGATAACTTCTTTAAATTAATAAATAGGCCGTCTTATTTCCTTTGTTTTACCTCTAGTAAAAGCTAAGCATTTGTAATTGTCAATTGGTAAATCAAATATCAGGCCTTTTATCTTAGTCTTTTGAATGAAAATTAAGTAAATATGATTCGTTAGAAATTTAATATACTTATCATTTCTTTGATTGCTTTTAATGACTGTTTGGTTTTGTTTTCTCTTTAGACAGTTGAGCCAGCTGGAAAGCGTTTCTTACTGGCAATTGATGTCAGTGCTTCTATGAACCAAAGAGTTTTGGGTAGTGTACTCAACGCTAGCACAGTAGCCGCAGCCATGTGCATGGTGAGAACACCTAAGACAATTTAGGATTTTGCCACCCTAAAAATGTTTACCCTGGGACAAAACTATAAAGTTGAATATGGTCAAGAATTATGTTTTTGCTTGTTTTAAGCAAAGCTTTAAGTATTATATATATACACTTGGGTATACTTGTATATACTTTTATACTTAGGTATATACAATATTGTAGGTATATTGAAAAAGCATGTCTAAAGAAAAGTCAGAGTAGAAATTTTAATTTTACAACAACAGATTAAATATTACCAGTATTTTTAAGGAAATAGATAATGCTTAGAGAAATTATTAATGAATATAGACGTTAAAAATCAGGAACTAATAATAACAGTCAGGAGACTTGTTCTAGCCTGACTCTGTCGCTGAATAACAAGTAAATGAACCATAGGCGAGCTTCTTGGCTTCTCTTCTGTGGGTTTATTCCTTATTTAATAAAACGAGAATAATAATATATACTCTATTTGCTTCAAAGGATTGTTGTGAAAACCAGTTTCTTTATAAGAGTTTGTGAAAGTACTTTGAAAGTTACTGTGTAGTTTCCAAACACAGTAATATAAGTTTAGAAATAAAAGTAAGCATCATAGGGTATTTTCTTTTAAAGATGAACTTCAAGATACTGTATTTGTTTCCCCCAAATCTACTGAAAATTACTACCATTGAATTTTTCAGGTTGTCACACGAACAGAAAAAGATTCTCATATAGTTGCTTTTTCAGATGAAATGGTACCATGTCCTGTGACTACAGATATGACCTTACAACAGGTTTTAATGGCTATGAGCCAGGTAAGAAACTGTTTTATTAAGTTTATTTAACATGTATTATATAAAAATTTATTGATGTCATTCCTGATATTAATAAATTTGTGAGAACAAATTGTTTCATCTCAACTTTCTCATGAACACAAAATCAGAAATATATTTACAAGCCTTGGGAAAGCCTATATATTGGGTCTAAACAAAATAACCTATAAAATAGTATTTTTAAGTATTTAATTATTTCAGACATGTCAGTACAGAAATGAGGGCATTTTCTTGTATTCTTATCCATGGTTTTTTTCCGAGTTAGATCCCAGCAGGTGGAACTGATTGCTCTCTTCCAATGATCTGGGCTCGAAACACAAATACAGCTGCCGATGTCTTCATAGTATTCACTGATAACGAGACCTTTGCTGGACATGTCCATCCTGCCGTTGCTCTGAGGGAATATCGAAAGGTAAGATAAATTCTAATATTCTTTCTCACCCCAAATAAGATTCGATTCTCAAATATTGACTATATTTTTCAAAAAATGATACTGAAGGTAGTTCTGTATCTTTGTATAGGAATGTTACGCCCGTTCTGGACGCAGTAGTTCTGTACCTTTGTATAGGAATATAACACCAGTTCTGGAAATAAGGAAGTACTACCTACACATACGTAATTTATTTCAACAAGTTCCAGTTCCATACATTTTAATATCTTTTGCAAACAGTATTTTCGATAATAATCAAAATTTTTGTTACCTTAACTGTAAATTTTTAATGATTCAGTGTGCTCCTTGAAAAATTAAAGCATCATTTCTGAGTTTTGCTAAGGATTACATAACCCTAAAGCAAAGCTGTAATCTGTGTTTTAAGCTTTATGGGTATTTCTGTGTTCTAATCAGTGCTCTCTACTTGAGCTTTCTGAAATGATGGAATTGTTCTATATTTGCACTATCCAGTATGAAATCTACCAGTCACATGGCCTGTGGAGCACTTGAATTGTGGCGAGTGTGACCAGAAGTGGAAATAGAGCTTGATGAGGAGCAGTGGTTCTTAAAGTGTGATTTCCCTACTAGCAGCCTTAGCATCACCTGGCACCTTGTTAGAAATGAATATTCCTGGGCCCCATGGGAGACCTGCTAAATCAGGAACTCTGGGGTGGCACTGTGTTTTAACAAGCCCTTCCGGGGATTCTAATGTATGCTTAAGTTTGAGAACAAGTGAGAGAACGGAATTCGGAGTCAAGACAGCCTGGGTTCTGAGTCCTGGGCCTTTCTCGTTATACTAACTGTGGATCCAAGTGAATTATCAATATTTAACTGATACGTGTCATAGTAGTACATCACTACTGTGATATGTGCCATAGTAGTTAAAAGTACTACGTAGCTTTTAGGGTTGTTATAACAATTACATTAGATAAATTGCCTAAAGAGCACATCGTGTCTGACATAGTGCACACTCAGTGATTGTTGGTTTTTCTCAAAAACTCAATTATTTTAGCCTGAAATCATAGCTGTAGAGAACAGGTTATTACATGTGACGTATGTTATACATAGCAAAGTCATAAACCAAAAATCGATAACCCCAGGGAACTGTTTCCTTATATATATCCTTACATATTGCCGCAGGGTTTGACATGTTGGTAAAAATGTCATGCCCCTGAATATCCTGACTAGTTTCATAAGTACACAGTCCCTATGCTGCTCAGGAATGTGTTCTATGCCCGTAAAATGAGTAATAACTATTGAACAAAGAAGCAGGAATTTCAGGCAGGTTGTTGACATGTTTATTAATAACCTTCTATTCTTCTGAAGATCACATAGTCTGGCCCCAGAAGATTGACAGATTTTATGGAGGAAAAACAAATTGGCTTTGTAATGAAAAGCTGTGATAGAATTTAAAGTGTTTTAATTTTAGGTTAAAATTTGCTTACATACTATTTTTAAAATATTTTTGATCTTTTCCTACAGAATATGGATATTCCAGCCAAGTTGATTGTCTGTGGAATGACATCAAATGGTTTTACCATTGCAGACCCAGATGATAGAGGCATGTTGGATATGTGTGGCTTTGATACTGGAGCTCTGGACGTGATTCGAAGTTTCACATTAGATATGATTTAATCATACGCACCAGCACAGTCTAAGAGGTCCATTGCCATCAGTGATCTCGCTAATACACTGCTACTTCCCAGCTAATCTTAATCCAATGAAAGACAGTAGGATGATGGTATAGTATGTGCATAATGGAAAGTTTACCTTACCAAAAAAAAGGAAGGAACAATAAGATGAGCCCAAAGTTCTTTCTGTCTACTAAACTAGCTCTTGGGAAATAGCTTCAGAATACACTGTAGCCCCCTCTATCTAATAGAGAACTTCTTGTTGAGAGGCTGTAAAATAGTCAAACAGTTTTGCTTTGGCGAATAATCACATTTGTACTTAAAAGAAGAGAGAGCCAGAAGTGTAAGTAGTTCCATATCATGTCACTTATTTGAGAAATGCCTAAAGTTTTCTTAAATGTTTTCATTGGTAAAGGACAACTTTGATAATGTCCAAATATTCTGAAATGCACTGGACCATGTAACTGTGTTGGAATATGAAACTCATTTGTAAACTTTTATACCAAGGGGGTTAAAAAAACAAACAAAAAAAACAAAAGACATTTGACTATGAATGAGTTTTACAAATTCCTTTAACAGTTTTCTACAGTCACATAAATAGCAGCTTTCTCAGTCAGTGAAAAAGATACTTTGTTTCTGTGGTTTAATTTACACTTGTAGAATTGTTACCATTAACCAGAAACATAAGGGAAACCCCTGAGATCTGAAGTTTGTGTCAGCTAAGGAAGTCTATTTTGGTTTGCTTTTGTTTGTTTATTGCTGTGAGTGAGGGGGCATGACTTGACAGTTTCCTCTGGCTTATAACAACATAGCCACATGTAGGCACACTTTTTTTTTCATTCTCTTAAATGAAAACAGATGTTTCAAGCATTTAACTCCCCCCATTCATAATCTGAAAGTATGACAATTAAAATCTCAAACATAGCCAGATTAGCTTTTTCCTTACTTTAAAAATATTGTTTTAATTACTTTTATCTATTTTTTTAGCCAATTGTAAATGGGTTTTAGATATTTCTAATGGTAAACATGTTAGTGGCCTCCTCTCTCTTTGTCCATTATTCATCTGTGGCTTTGTCCATTATTCATTTGTGACAAAACATTCTTTTTTGATAGTATAAAAAAATAATAAAGCAAGGTAGGTCTTTCAGGTTTGAAAGGCAATTTTTGTGTGGCATATTATCACTAACCAGTCTGTAAGAAATTAATTTTTTCTATTTTATTTGTGTATATTAAACTTCCTATTCATTATAAAGTGCACTATTTTCTTGAGCAAGTATCCCTTCTTTGTGGGGAGGTTTAACCTGTTGAACTGCCAGTATATTTGCTCATAATTATATCATGGCTGTTTAAGATAATGTGCACATAAAACTTCAGTTTTTATGTATTGTTCTTTAAATGTATTTAAAGTTTTACTGGGGATTTATAAAGCCCTTCTCAATATTATATGAAAAGTCAAACTAGTAAATGTAAATTATACTTTCACGTGCTTGGGGGTTAGAGGTTTTATGTTTTGGGGGGCAGAGGGACTTAAGTAATGTTAGAATTTGTATATTTTCTTCTGTTTCATGAGAAATTTGGGCTCTGGGAGTAATAAGACAATGTTCCTTTCAAACTTATTTGATAAATTAATGCTGGCCTTGTCTGATATGTAGCTCTTCCTTCAAGGCCACTGGTAGCAATTTGTAAATATTATGATTTACCTGATTTTTTTGTCAGCAAAGCTAGTAGCACCACTACCCCCCCCCAAAAAAAATACATGGCTTCTGATATCTGTTTTTTATCCTCTGTCAGGCATTGGATTTGACATGTTAGCTACTTTTGATACATTAAAATATTACGTTCAGATTGAATTTAAAGTTTAAAGAACCTAACAGAATTTTGTAATAGTACTTGAATTCTTTAAGTAAACCCAAAATCTTTTTTTTTTTTTTTTTCCCTTTTTTTTTGCGGTACGCGGGCCTCTCACTGTTGTGGCCTCTCCCGTTGCGGAGCACAGGCTCCGGACGCGCAGGCTCAGCGGCCATGGCTCACGGGCCCAGCCGCTCCGCGGCATGTGGGATCCTCCCGGACCGGGGCACGAACCCGCGTCCCCTGCATCGGCAGGCGGACTCTCAACCATTGCGCCACCAGGGAAGCCCCAAAATCTTCTTAAATTAAAAATTATAACATGATCTAACTTTTTATTCCTAATAGAAATGTTAAGTGGAATATAGTATAAACGTTTATTTCCTTCAGTTAAACATTGTTTCTATATTGCTTTTAGACAGATATGTTCAGGAACTAATATTAAATCCATCAGAAGTAAGATTAGATGTGACTTTTTTGAAGTCACATAAATAAGTCTATTAAATGGTAAGATTTTAGAAAGAAAAAACTAAAAGCCACCACTGAAGGTAGCTTTATTTTCAAATCATGGAGCTTTAGAGCTGGAAGAAACCTTAGAAATTTAAAAGGTAATTGTTTGAGTTAGTTTAAGGATCCATGGTCTGAGAGAGTGTGACTTTGGAGCCCTAGATCTAGATCTAGAAACCTTGGTCTCTTCATTCCCATTCCAGTGTTCATTTCCCGACAAAATGGGAAGACATTGACTTACAAGAGTAGGTGATAAAATAGAATTATTCAAGACTTTTATCTTTTTAGGTATTAGGAAATAATGTATATAACATAATTGCTTTAGGAGTAGAAAAACAGAACTTGTGAACATGTATACTTCTGTAGTTCATAGTAACCCTCAAGCACAATTAATGTCTTAATAACCTGTATTGCTATATAACATAGTCATATAGAAAGAATAAAAAAACTTTACCTCATATGAATAAAATGTACTCAAGTGATAAAGAAGTTTTATTTTCTGAATTACTTCTAGCATTATTGCTGATTAGGAAAATGTTGCTTCTAAAAAACAATCCTAAGAAAAGTAAACTTTATTTCCTAGAAAATATGTAAATATTTTCAGGATATAGTTGTAATTAGTAAAACAAAAACTAATCTTATGATCTTACCCTATCCCTGTTAATTGAAATTTCTTGGAAATTACACTTATTAACACTTACGTATTATTTAGTTTAGTCATCATTTTAGGAAATATTGGTGAGGAAGACACTAGTGAATGGGATTTAGCGTTATACCCTTCTGGAACCTCTTTTGCTTTATCTAACTTACTGTGTGACTGTAGACAACCAGTTTAACCTATGTGATTCAATTTTGCTATCTTTAAAAAGTAACATATCTGATGCTTGGCTCATAGAAAAATCAATGATTTTATATCTGTATAAAACTTGAAATTGGGAAGAAGGCTTGCAAAGAAATTAGAACTTTTTAAAAAAAATAAAAACACTTTTAATAGGATATATGTTTTGAAAGATAAAATGTTTTAGAAAAACAGCTCAGTAGGCTCAATAATTTTTTTAAACACTCCTGTTCTGAATGGGAAAATGTGGAAGAAAAATTTTAACAGTAAAGGTAATGACTAAAGAAATCACTATTCTCTGATAAGAGAAAGGAATATATTCCATTAGATAGATCAAGAAAAACTAACTCATACTCTAAATGAGAAGATGGTCTTACAAAAATTTGCTTAATGTTTTAAAATAACAGGTAAATCTACAAACGATAGAATATCAGTTAATCAGGATTTTTTTCTGCAAAACAATTTAAAATTTTTTTGGAAATTTAAGATAGAATTTCTGAATAAATTTGAGGATCTGACAATTAAGAAACATCTGTGGAAGCACAGTAAAGCTACATCTAAACAATAATTAAAGGGAAATGGTTGTGATCACTTATTGGACTTACTTCAGTTTGACCTAAAGATGATATACCCACAGATCTCTCGATAAGTCCCTTACAGTTAGTAATCACAAATGAAAAATTCTAGTCTTGTATACCACAGACTTGGGTGATTCGTTAAGGCTGTATCCCCTCTAGAGAAGTGTCAGATAGCATCAATGTAAACATGCACAAGGGAGAATTAGAAAAAAGATAAGTTAAACTATTTCATTAGTTGTATTTACTGTATGCATTTAATTTAGTATATATCCCAGTTACTTGCTCCCTAGTCCATTATTTGTTGGAAGATTCCTTCTATACCTTTTTTTTTTTCTTTTAAAATTCCTTTCTTCTGACATTTTGGTCTTCTGTTTGCTTTTCTAGTCCTGCTGTACCTGAGTAATAAAATAAATGACAGGAAAGTCACCCATATTTAGGTTTGGGATACATCTTGCAGATTGCTTTGTTCCATATAGATTTAAGGTCATATTGTTTTCAAATTAATAATGGGCAGGTCTCCTGGAACAATAATTGAATTGATAATTATCTCCCCAAATCAAGTCATATTGTATACCTTTTATATTAGATGTTTGCAGAAATGTTTGCAGTTATTCAGCCTTTGTTTGCAATTATAGATGTACCTAGCTCTTAGAAAAAGCACCCTTTGAAAAATAATTAAGTGAATACTCTTTCAGAAAATAGCATGTCTCAGTGCTCATATTTCCATAATTATAAAGACTACCCACAAAATCTTTGTCTACCAAATACTTCACAGAGCTTATATATACATGGCTTGTAGCATAAAAGGTCTTGTAAATGACACGTATCCACATTCAACATTTTTTTAATTGGTGAGTGTTTTATTTGCTTTTGAAAAATTATTATGAAGTTAATTTAAAAATTAATCCTGTGGTAATATTTTTCATGTAGAAAACGAATAATGTTGTTAAACTTACTGTCTGAATAGAACTATAATAAATGACACATTTTCCTAAACCCTGAAAATACCAAATTATATAGGAAATTGGTAGAAAGAAACATCATAAACTTAGGAGTTATGTTGCAAAATTCAGTTACTAAAATTAAGGTGATTATTTTCAATGAGAATTAATTTTGTAAATACAATGAAAAGATATAAAAGATGTTTCTGAGCCTAAGGAGATTTTTCCCTTTGCTTCTATTTAATTTAGCACCACCATGTGTCATATTAATTTTATGAACACAAGTGATAATATACTTCATTTTAAAATATATTTAAATTTCTTTGCTTTTAGAAGTTATCAGGATCTGTTCTTGAACAAAAGAAATAGTAAGTTAGCTACACTTCGCTGGCTTCACTTAATGAATACTTGGATTGTTAAGTGTAGTAAATGAGGTTAAAGTCTTGCTGTATATCATTACCACATAATTGATGGAAATTATATCAATACAATCATTGTATTGAAACTTCTGTTTAAATTACTTACTAGGCTTTATTTGCAATGTAAACTGTTTAGAATCCATAGATAGCGAAATTAAACATATTATACAATTAATGAATAGTAACCAAGAAAAAGTGTTTTTGTTCACTATTATTCTAAAGATGGACTGCTTGCAATTCGGTATGGTGTGACTAGACAACTTGTAATGCATTTGAGTTATATTTTCTTCCTTTTATTGCCAGCTTCTGATAATGAAGAAATTCTCCAAGAGATGAGATATATAAAATCATCTTTTTTAAAAAAAACTGAATGGGGAAGAGGTATTATAATCTAGTTCTAAACTGTCCATTTGCTTTATATAAAGGCTTTGATTTCCATATTTGACCACTCAATAAATATTTAAATTATACAGACTAATGGCTGCATAGAATAAAATTTAAGTATGCAAGAGCCTTAAAGTGAAAAAAAATGAGCCTTCTGACTGCCTTAAAATATGACTAGCTCTCCAACACAGGCATACGTACTTTGCATAGGGTCTGTTCATTAAGTAATGCCTTAATAGTGTCAGTGTTTCTGAAGTATAGAACTCGAAAGGTCTTTTACAGCTTTCTCTTTTACATAAAGAATGGAAATTTAATTATTAAGTTTTAAAACCTGATTGTACATTAGCTGTTTAAGCACCCGTTAACAGGATAATCTAGGGACACTGATGTGTTATACATACATGACTGTTAACATCAGTAATATTTTGTGGTAGTTTAAGGTTTTTTATTGTTTTGTATAACAAATTATCCAGGAAGCTGGACTCTGTAACTGATCTCCAAGGACCAAGTTGCATATTTAAACACTCTGAATGAAAAATATAGTTGTACAGTTCCAAAAATGATTAATTTTTTAAGGGAATTTTTCAAGACAAAAGGCAAATATTTTGTTTCAAGCCTACCAGCAAATTCATTCAAAGAAGTGAATATAGTTGTAAGACATTGTGACTATTGCAATAAAAAGTATCCAGGCCAGTGATGTTTAATTACATTCACATTTTTACATTCACTTTGCCTTTCAAAGCAGGAATATTTTATAAAAATGAGAGAAAACTTTAAATTGTCAAGCTGGTGCTTAAAAGTATATAAAGTTCAATTTATAACAAGTTCCATTTCAAAGAAAAAGGACACTGAAAGGAGGGGCAGGGGGTTTCCTAGGTCTGTTGTTGATCAACTTACTGATAACTTTGTTGAGTCTTCCAAGTTTTCACTGTAAATAACATACCTAGCAATGTAATTCTGCTGTTTTCTGATAGAAAATGGATGAAATACTAATGTATGAAATTTATTTCATGACAAAACAGTTTTCACCAATACTGCGAAATCTGGACTCTCCTTTCTAGCCCTGCAAAACCCCATACTGGATAAATCATTTTAGACATGGAGTGCAGGTGGGCACAATGTGAACTGTTTCTGGTCACTTGTATTATTGTAAAAATTGATAGATGTACCAAATAAACTCTATGCACATCAAGTAATTGTCTTTCCATTTCTTTAAAGAAGAATTTTAAGGTTATTATATGCCTTATAAAATGTAAGGCTCTTAGCAATCTTATAATATTTGAATAAGATGAAATTAAGGTTTGACCATTAATATTGGTCTTAAAATGCCGCTACTTGTATATAACTATTATTTAATTATTTTAAATATGTGGTTGGGGATTCTTTTCCAATGGATATTAATTATAGGATAAAAACGACTGGATTTAATAAAAGTGCATATTCTTCAAGAGTTTAAAACAGGATTCTTTTGTGAAAAAAAAATTCAAAGTTGCCTTTGGGAGTGGGAGAGGGATAAACTAGGAGTTTGGGATTAACATATACACACTACTATATATAAAATAGATAACCAACAAGGACCTACTGTATAGCATAGGAAACTATACTTAATACTTTGTAATAACCTATAAGGGAAAAGGATCTGAAAAAGAATGGATATATATATATCTGTAACTGAATCACTTTGCTGTATACCTGAAACGAATCCAACATTGTAAATCAACTATACTTCAATAAACATTTTTAAAAATAAGAAAATAAAAGTTGCCTTTGGGAAAAGTTAACACCAAAAGTCAACTATGCAAATAAAAATATTTAAGTGCCAATTTGCAGAAATTTCTTTTCTCTGAATTCCCGTAAAACTTTCATATTAAAAGTTCTAAGATCTGAGCTGTAGGTTATGAAGAAGAGTGAGAACAAGTTACATATGAATATACCCACCAAAACTTTGAACATTTGATCGATTCTATAGTTCTCCATTTAAAGACGACAGAGAAAGGAAGATCACAAATACAGTGGACCCCTGAATGGCTGGTTGGACCCTTGAATGGCGGTCGGTTGAATCTGGGCATGCAGAACCTTGGATGCAGAGGGCTGACTATAAATTATCCTTGGGTTTTCAAGGTGGGGGTTGGAGCGCCTAAGCCCTGCGTTGTTCCAGGGGTCAACTGTATACATCTCATAGGTGAAGAAAACTAAACTTAAAAAAACTTCCTTTTAAACCTTATCAAGAAAACTTGCCTTTAAAAAATATGTTCAAATGGTATTTTTTAAAATACTAGTAAATAATAAAATGCAGATATATTTAAACAAATGACCCCTTTTTTTCTCAGCAGTTTTTCAGCTTCCCAATTAAATATTTTGGCAATTTATGTGTAAGTTGATTAGTGATAAAGTGAGAAAACAAATGGCCCATTTTTAAAATATTAAACAGTATGTCTTTCAGATCTTAACAGTAAAAATAGAGGACCAAAAAAAAAACGATATCATTACTTTTTCTTAAACTGGTCATGATTTTCTTTCTAACCTGTGGTTTTGGAAAGAAAAAACAGAGCTGCTGAAACCCCTCATACCTAGTTTTGCCTTAGATTTACATTATACTTTATATATATATATATATATATATACTTTTATCTAGCTGTAATTTATGGTGTCATGGACTGAATGTGTCCCCCCAAAATTTATGCTGAAACCCTCATCCCCAGCACCAATTATATGAGTTTTTCCACTGAGAATCTGTTACAGTCCCCTATCGAAATCTCTTCCTGTTAATCCTCGGCTTTGTAACTAGCCCCTGCACAACTAGTTAAATCCTTGGTCAGCCAGGATTGGCATGTCATCGGGGCAGCTGCTCAGACCCACAAGACTGTCCCCTCCAGCCCTCACTTCAGATGCCAATCTCAAGTCCAGGTTATCACCTGTGCTTCTCCCAACCAGATATAGACGGGATTCCACCAACCCTCTCCCTCCCTCCTTAGGTTTGATTAGTTTGCTAGAGCAGCTTACAGAACTCAGAGATAACATTTTACTTTCTGGATTTCCAGTTTACGATAAAAGCCTCTAACTCAGGAACAGCCAGTTGTAAGAGAAGTATAGAGCAACGTATGGGGAAAGGGGAGAGCTTCCGTGTCCTCTCTGGGCACTTTGTTCTCCCCCAATCTCCACGTTTTCACCAACCAAGGAGCTTCACAAATCCTGTCCTTTTGGGTTTTTACAGAGGTTTCATTACACAGGCAGGATTGATTAGCCATTGATGATTGAACGCAATCTCCAGCCCTTCTCCCTCCCCAGAGGTCGGAGGTGGGGCTGGTATTTCCAACCTTCTAATCACAAGCTTCCCCAGGCAACCAGCCTCCATCCTCAGGGGCTTTCCAAAAAACACCTCATTAACATAACCAAAGACAATTTAATAGCTCTTCTCACAGGAAATTCCAGGGGTCTCAGCTGTGTGCTAGGAATGGCATGAAGACCAAATATATATTTAATATAAATCACAGTATCACACGAGGTAACATTTCCTCTACTCTCTAACAAAGAGTTTACAACATAGCAAGCATGCAGGAATTTCGCATCATGACATAATGCAAAATAAAGGGCTAAAGGAATGCCTCCACTGTTCCATTCCAGTTATAACTTATCACATGAGAATGAAATAGTCCAAATTCTTGCTTTATCAAGGTCTAACGACAGCTTAATAGACCATGTAGGAAGCATCATTGAGGGCAAATGGCAAAAAAAGCCACCAGCTGTCTTCTGCAGGACTATCCCTGATTCTCTGATCCATCTTGAGCAGAAAGCAGACGCTCACCACTTCTCTTAAAGTCCATCTTCCTCCCACTTCTGAGGAAGAGTCTTCTCTTCCCAGCATCTGGTAATCTGCCCCGTGTGACTCTGTGGGATCAGCTAGAATTCCCAGTCACAGAAGCGAAGAATATCTACACCAGAAATTACTTTAGGGACATTCAGTTTAATCTCCCATCCAATACCTGGATGCCCTGTGGAACATTTCCAACAGCTTCCAACACCTTCTGGAAAGCAGAACTCTCCACCTCACACTATAACTCAAGTGTATTTCTGAACTGTTTCCGCAGTTCATCCTCATACAACGCTGAAATCTTCCTCCTCTTAATTTCTGCCCAGAGGGGCCGTTTTATTCTCTAGAACTACCAAATCATCAGATGAATAATGTGGTTTTTCTAAAATGAATTTCATTCCATCCTACAAATTTAATATACTTCTTTTACTCTAGAAGCACAAAGTGTGAAGGCTTGTCACAATACAGTACAAGGATATCCCTACCGAGTTCACAACTGCATCAGTGAGAGCCTTATTTTGCAGAGAAGACACCCATCAGCGCTCACCACTGAACGCTAGAAAAGAAAAGGCATTAACTCCTCTGAATACAATACAGAAGAGTCCCAAATGCTTACTTTCTAGCTCTTGGTTGTAAAATTCATCTATAAATTCCGAATGAAACACATTCTTTCCTTATCTTTTGATACAACTCTACTCCTTCAGTTTTAAATATCATCCATTTTACTCAAGAACTGGCAAATAAGAGGTTTCCAGCGTGATTTATTTTTCACTATTTTTTACAACTTTTTCATGAATTCATATATTTAAAATACCCTCGAATATTTAAAAGGCATTATCAGGCATTATCTCTTTAAATATATAGTGACATTTTATTAGCAAAGTTATGAGCACCTACATCACTAAAATTCTTTCCTCTTACTTTTTTTTAGATAACACTGGTGAACTAGTGGAAGCAATTTCCCTTCTTTGTGAAGCCTGTGAGTGTCAGTTGCACCGCCAATAAAAGTTCCATTAACAAATATTCTTGGCACCTGTTGGATAAACAAAAGATTAGATGGCACCTTGGTGTCAGAAGTATAAGGCCATTCACATGTGGCTAATACATATTCCACTGTGAGTACTTTTATGGGCCAGACATACACGAAGCTCTTTGACTAATTACCTATTTAAACTTTACAACCCTTCAGGTAGGTACTATTTTTAGCCTTATTTTGGAGGAAGAGGAGGCACAGGAACTTGCCCAAGATCACAGTGATAGTAAATGACACAGCTGGGATTTAAATCCTGGACAATCTAACTCTCTACCCACTCCGTCTCATCGCTATGGCGTATAAAAGGCAAAATAAAGCAATCTCTAATTATTAATAATGTTTAAGTGGTTCTTTCTTACCATTGTTTACTAAAGAGGAAGAGTACACTATCAACTCCTTCCAGGCACATATAAACAAGAAGGAAAATGGCAATATTATCTATTTTTCGTTTGTTTGTTTGTTTTGGGTTGCCGGGGCGTTTGGGGGGTTTTTTTGGCCGTGCCACGCAGCATGCAGGATCTTAGTTCCCTGACCAGGGATCAAACCTGTGCCCCCTGCGGTGGAAGCATGGAGTCCTAACCACTGGACCGCCAGGGCGTTTTTCTGATAATGCATATTATGGGAAAATCCACAGATTGCAAGAATATAAAAACATGGAGCCCGAAAACACCCCTATTAGCACAGAACATGAAGACCAACCCTTGGTCTTCACTGTTCAAGGGAGGAAGGAAGGATGTTTTCATCTTGAAAAAGCCCCAGGAGGACCTCAAAGATTCGTAGACCAGCACTCACGACACCACCATTACCCCTCCCACCTCACACACACACACACACACACACGCACACACGGCAAAAATAAAAATAAAACAAATGAACTCTGCTGTTTCCTAGTCTATGAGTCTGGTTTCCAGATCTGCCATTTCTGTATCAATTAAGATTCTCAGAGTATGTCTGGCTCACTTTTCCCATCATGAGGGCACAGGCCCGAGGTGACCCAACTCAGTCCCCACTTCGGGGCAAAGCACCACAGTAGATGTACTCACAGTTCTTTCACCAGTCATTTCGTGAAGAGCGTCTTGTAACTGGCTTCCGTGTTCAAGCATGTCCAATTCCACCACTTTATAGTTTACATTCATGTCGTGAAAAAGTTTTTTTGCCATCGTACAGTAAGAACAAGAAGTTCTGGAGAAAATCACCACGCAATTATTAGAAATGATTTCCTGAAGGAAAACAAACCAGAACAAAAAAATCATTTGAATTCTAGACATTATCTTTCAGAAAGGAATCATGATACAGTAGAAAGGGTATGGATTTTGGAGTCTCACAATTCAGGGCTCAAACTCAGTCGCCATCAATCTGTTTTCTCATCGTAGATTGAGGACAAAGAAACATTATTAGGAAAAAAAGGATGTGACAGGTGGAAAGTGTTGGCAAAGGGTAATAACGCCAATAATCACAGCCAATTCATATACAGCAGACACTTCTGCGTGCCGACACAATTCTCAACACTTTACTAGCTCACTTAAACCTCACTACAGTCTTGAGATAGGTGCTATCATCACCTCCAATTTACAGATGAGGAAACTGAGGTACAGAGGAGGGGAAATAACTTACCCCTGGTCCTCAGCTGAGAAGTGGGCGAGCTGGGATTTGAACCCAGGCAAGTCTGATGCCACAGCCCAGGTAGTTAATCTCTGCTATACTGCTTCTCAAATATTCAGGTGTTCAGGAGTTAACTCCTTACCTTCCTTAACTTTTTTTTCTTAATTTTTTATTATTATTATTTTTTTTTTTACCATCTTAACCATTCTTTGCCTTTTTTTTTTTTTTTTTTTGGCTGCACCATGCAGCTTGCAGGATCTTATATCCCCCACCAGGGATCGAACCCGTGCCCTCTGCAGTGGAAGCGTGGAGCCCTAACCTAACCCCTGGACCGCCAGGGAATTCCCTTCTTTGCTATTTTTAAAACTGGAATATAACTGATTTACACTATTATATTAGTCTCAGGTGTAGAGCATAATGATTCGATATTTTTATACTTTACAAAATGATCACCATTTCCTAAATGTTCAGTGGTGAGAAATGATGTATGATTTCTCTTTAAAATGTAAGGCTTTCGGGGCTTCCCTGGTGGCGCAGTGGTTGGGAGTCTGCCTGCCGATGCAGGAGACACGGGTTCGTGCCCCGGTCTGGGAGGATCCCACATGCCGCGGAGCGGCTGGGCCCGTGAGCCATGGCCGCTGGGCCTGCGCGTCCGGAGCCTGTGCAAGACCACAACAGTGAGAGGCCCGCAAACGCAAAAAAAAAAAAAAAAAAAAAAAAATGTAAGGCTTTCACTGATCCAGATGTAAACAACAGCTTACCCTACCCCTCAACTTCCACTCCTTCTTGTGTATCTTTATAGTAAAAAAAACAAAACAAAAAAAGTCATTACTGTTTTGATAAGGTCTTCCCACAGCATTGTTCCTGGAAATGCTACTTCCAGAAAGACTGATTCAATGGGTTTGAGGCAGAGGTCAGAAGCTATTTTTGAAAAACCTTTCCAGATGATTCTAATGATATCAGCCTGGTTTGGAGGCTACTCTCCAGGCTTTTATCACAAAGACCCTGAGACTCTGCTATGCATCTGCGTCACCTGTGAAATTTGTTGAGCTTTGTGTTCCTAGACATATCAATGCCCAGGTACTTCAAGAGTTTCTGAATGGACATGTCTGGCACCTAGGCATCTGCCTAGGCTGTCCTAATGTGGGTTATAAGCAGCACCTTCAAGAAGACCAAAAATCAGAAAGTAGAGCACCCAGGCAAAGTGTTTCAGAAGTTATATCTGCCCTTGGGTGTCAGAAGGGTTCTAGGTCAGTGTCTAGGTGTCTGCAGATTGGTCTATTTTTATGCTTTCTCTCCTGCTCACTCATAATATTTACTACAGAAGTCTATCTCAGGGAGAGCCAGACACACCAGAGATGTACTACTGAATCCATTTTATAGATGAGAAAACTGAGGATGGGAAGTTCACAATACTGGGTGGGATTCCACCCAACCTGTCCCAACACCAAAGCCAGTGCGCATTCCTCACTGTGCTGCCTCGGGTTAGAGACACATGGACCATAATTCAGAGAGAAAGGAGTACCCTGGCAGCTGAGACGTAGTACAAACACTGATGGAGAGATTCCAAAGTGAGCCGAAACTCAAGGTGACAGTGTCCAAGTTTCTTGAACCTTCTTTCTCACCTTTTCTCAACCTCATCCTTGCTAAATAGTTCATGGTTTTGTATTCTTTATTTTTTTGGACCGAGTCACGCGGTATGCAGGACCTTAGTTCCACGCAGGGATCGAACTCATGCCCCCTGCAGTGGAAGTGCAGAGTCTTAACCACTGGACCACCAGGGAAGTCTCCCACCTCACCATGGTTTTGTATTCTTTTTTTTTTTGCGGTACGCGGGCCTCTCACTGTTGTGGCCTCTCCCGTTGAGGAGCACAGGCTCCGGACGCGCAGGCTCAGCGGCCATGGCTCACGGGCCCAGCCGCTCCGCGGCATGTGGGATCTTCCCGGACCGGGGCACGAACCCGCGTCCCCTGCAACGGCAGGTGGACTCTCAACCACTGTGCCACCAGGGAAGCCCCTCTATTCTTATTTTAAAAGAGGCAGTCCCTCACTATAGGTCTCCAACATTACTGTTATATTCAATGGCTGCGGGTGGATACTTCTGTAGCCAAATAAAGGCAAAAATGTTTGTGTGAAGTGGTGTTTGGTGGTGAGGAGCAGACAAATGAGTATGTCCTATGGGCTACAAGGGAACAGAAACATACACACAAGAGGCATTTTCTGAGGCAGACTTAACTGGGCTTCGCAGTGCAAGCAAGAGAAAGACAAGAGAACACAGCAGTGCACAGTATCCTTGAGAGGATTGGTCATAGAGTAACTACTGCAAACTAGGTTCTGTATTAGGGAAACAGCTTCCCAGACCAGAACCAAACACTATCCCTGGGTAAGGGCAACCTGACTGGTATCAACAGTAGACCTGCGTTGGGTGAGATGGTAAGAGCAGCCAACAACATAGACCCAGCTTAGGGAAGTGAAGGCTCCATTAAGAATAAATCTCATAGGGACTTCCCTGGCGGTCCAGTGGTTAGGACTCCGCACTTCCACTGCAGGGGGCACAGGTTCGATCCCTGGTTGGGGAACTAAGATCCCACAAGCAATGCAGCACAGTCAAAAAAAACAAAAGAATAAATCTCATAAATTCTGACTGCCAAAATGATCTAGAACTTCTTTGTCACATGCATGATTTTGATAGCAGATTTAAAAATATATAAGAACTTAGTAATTCATTTGCTGCACTATGACAGGTTTTGATACAGAATAAGCATATTAAATGTGTAAGACGATTCTTTTTCCACCAAGGGAAGTTTTTTGCTACATGTCCCACATCACTCACTTGGATCTGATTCATGGGAGTAGTTGCTGTGTTCCCCAAAGATGACGATGTGCTGTTCCCCATCCTAAAAGGAATTTTAAAAGGCAGTGCAGTTTATTAAACATTAAAGACAATATATCAGATGAGATCCATTTGAAAAAAACCCGATATGCTAATATATATCCAAACTTATGAAAGAGAAAGAAGTTTTACTTATTATCAGTACAAAATATCAGTTTACAAAGTATTTGTTTACTAATATCAAAAGGGCCTGTGTGCTTCTCTAACTAGCCTCCAGAACAGAAAAAGGAGATTAAGGGGTGCAGGGGTGGAATAACACAGAAATCTATTTGTCTTATTAACTAAGAAAACACGTCCTTTTCATCTCAATTCCAGCATTTAATTATCATCCCTAAACCATCTACTATTTGCATCTACTCTGGAAGCAGGAATTCCAGTAGAACTTTCATAAGACAATGCTTTCTTGGGTACTAAGAGAGGAGGTGGGAGGTGCATTCTGAAACATCAACCTCTTCTCTACCAAAGAAAAGAGAAAGCTTCTGGAAGGCACTTTTCTCCAATTCTAGTCGAGAAAGCAGCAGGTGTTCAATAAACGTTTCATTGATGAAGCAGCCACTAGCCATGCCACATTTATGGAGCACCTACTATGTGCTAAACCGGCGAAATGCCCCAGGGATACGTATCACTGGAAGAACACAAAGAGCCTCAAGGACCTGTCAAATAGTTACACTATATGATCGGCACCTCCCGGAGGGGCTCTCTAGTTTAGCATAGAAGGTTAATCAAGAGTTCCTGGAGTCTTGTAAAACTGGTAGGAGTTACCAGATCAAGGAATTAGGAAGAAACTCCCAGACAGAGGGATGGATGCACAGATAGGCGAGCGGACAGGACAGCCCCGACCAGCCGCGCGGGAGTGAGGTGGGCAGAGCATCCGTCTGGGCAGTGGGTCTCGCACCACAGGCCTGGGAGCCGCGGGTATTCACCGTCCTCGCTCGAGCCAAGGACGACTTCAGCATGAATAGGCAACCGTCCTGTCCTCAAAGACTCGGCGATTTGGTAGAAAGCGCCACTTTCACTTCCTGCCGCAGGGTTGCCAGATTTAGCAAATGAGAATGAAGATCGCTCGGTTAAATTAGAATTTCAGATAAACAGCGAATAACTGTTTAGCTTACATATGTCCCGTGCAATATTTGGTATATACTTAAACCAAACCATTATTCGCTGTTTATTTGAAATACCAATTTATTAGAGCATCTTGTATTTTACCTAGCAACCGAGGGGGAGGGGAGGTACAAGCGAACAAGACAGGTATTTGCAACCTGAGAGTAACGTGATCCTTAAGTCAACCTGAGCGCTTAGGGAACATTCCCTCCCCGCCCTTCCTGGCCCCCAGCCCTACGAGGGGCCTCGACACCTGCATCGACTCAGGGCCCACGCGGCCCCCGGGAAGAGCCGCCCCGCCCACCGCTAGGTCCAGACCCCCGCGAGGCCTTTGCGCCACGTCCTGCCGGTGGTGGTCGCGGCGCCCTTACCCAGAGGCCGAAACTCCCGCTGCCCCCTGGAGGCGGCCCGCCGACCTGCTCCCGCTCCGGACAAACCGCTTCCCCACCCGTGCTGCGCGGCGCCAGTACATGGCCGGGGCTCTGGGCCGCCGCGAGTAGACACGCCGGCGACCACGACCCGGGCGAGCCCGCCCCCGCCGACCGGCCCCGCCCCGCCGCGCTGCGGGCGCAGCCATCCGCCGGCCCTGCCCCTCTAACTGGCCCTGCCCCTCTAACCGGCCCCGCCTCCTCCCGCCGGTTCCACCCTCGTTCGACGGCCCCGCCCCACCCCGCCCCCGCAGAGCCCGCCCCCGCCCACCGGCCCGGCCCCCGCTAGCCCGCCCCGCCCCCGCCGGCCGGCCACGCCCCTCCGGGCTGCCCGCGCAGGCGCCGGTCTCTCTGCGCGGCCGGCGGCTCCTCCCTGTCTGGGCTCCCGAAGAGCGGGGTCCCGCGAGTCCCCGCCCACTTGGGAACAGTTGCCGGAGTCCTCGCCGAGGCCTCACCTGCACATCTCAAGGTTCATCCAAGCCCCGCACGTGTTCCTTTTAGGGTTAGGGACGCTCATGAAGGCTCACAGGCACGTGGAGATAGTTCTTGGGGATTGTGGCCAACATTCTGACAAAACGGAGAAGAAAAATAATGAGTGTTCGACACGGAATCAAAGTGCCTGGGATGTTTACATAGGAAGGCAGCGTCAGCGCACCTTCCTATCGGACAGGTTTTTGTGTTGGTGAAATCAGAGCCTAAAGGTGTCATCTCAAAATTCGGCCGTTGATCGAGAACTCATATAAATCATGGGAATATTGGATTTTAGAAAAAAAAGCCATCCAACTTAGAACGTTCATTCCAAAGAAAACAAAGATTGTGTTTTCAAAATAAAATTAGAAAATAAAACTTAAAATAGCCCAGGAGTGTTCCCTATGGCTTTGAGTGCTGCTAATGACAGGATTGTGTCAGTCACGGTAATAGTAGCCCTTTGTGCGTGACTGTATAAGAAGAGGTGGGTCGGCCTTTATTTACTGAGGACGTTGAAATCTATTTGTTTAGGTCAAAGGTCAAATGGTATGTCTAAAATTCTAAACAATTATTAGAAAAATTCAGACCTTTTTTGATCCTTCATGCTCAATTAGCTAAATTTAAGATTTAGTTCTGAGAGTTCTTTCCCTACTTTCAAGTGGGCCATGTTTCATTACCTCATAAAAGGATGAAAATTGGTTGCAAAAACAAATACCCCAAAAGGTGTAAAGTCATTCTTCATAAATCCAAAATTAAACTTAAAAATGAAGATATGTTGTTATCTACAATGTTGTGTGGTTTTGTGTTTTTGGATTTTTTTTTCATCAAAAGACAGCTATTTAGGAAATTTACTGTATCTTTGTTTTGTTGTAGAATTTTCCCTTATTGTTTCCAATTGTGTATTGTGAGGTGAAACAATCATGTCCCAATTTAATTTTAATATAGTATAGATGGCCTATGTTAAGCACAGAATTCACTGGACAGATTTTTAAAAAGGAGTTCCCAAATGAGAGTACTTCAGACAAAAGTGTTATGCCTGAATTAAGCATGATATATTCATCATCTTCAACTGCTTTGTACTTCTTTGGGTAGCTACAGAAGTGATGATTTTTGGTCATAATTGTGATGTCTGCAATGATACACGAAGATGTGGGCTGTTCATTTATGTGTGAACATAATGGGGGATGGCCAGTATAGGTAGATCAAGAATATATTGGTAAATACAGCCTTAGGAGTTCTACAATTTTTTTTCAAGATTCAACATAGTATCAATTAAAAGAATTGACATATCTTTGAATGTTCTTTCAAACTCGTTTTTTATTCTTTAAATTGTCAGTTAAAGCTCACACATTGTGTTTGACATCAAGAGCAGGGTTTTCCGCTTCCTAGCGTTGAAAGTTGCTCAGATCAGTAAATGATGAGATCTTCTACTAGAAAGGGCCTTCTGGGAGGTTCTCTAGAGTGGGTCCAACCTGTGGACCTTAGACATCTAGGAACCTTGGAAAATGCTTCCTCCAAAGAAACTTTAAAAAGAGCGTGATTGTGAGCCCTCAGGGATCAGCTATTGTATTAGTTGTCTTAGGGCTGTTGTAGCAAATTCCCACAGACTTAAAGGACAGAAATCTATTCTCTCACAGTTCTGGAGGCTAAAAGTCCGAAATCTGGCAGCGCTGTGTTCCTTCTAGAGGCAACTATAAAGGGGAATTCATGTCCTTCCTCTTCCACCTGGTGCTCCAGGTGTTCCTTGGCTGTGGCCACATCTCTGCCTCCTTCTTCATGTCTCCTTCTCTGATAAGGACACTTGTGATTAGATTTAGAGCCCAGCTGAAAAATCCAGGATGATTTCATCTCTAGGTCCTTCACTAAATTACATCTGCAGACTCAGTTTTCCAAATAAGGTGACATTCACAGGTTGCAGGGATTTGACCTCCACATTTTGGGGGGAAGGACCATTTTTCAACCTACCACACCTAACACAGACTAGAGAAAGCCTGATATTTCACTGAAGTCTTGTGTATTCTGTTAAAATCCTGTGAATTTTGCATTATGGTCATTTTCTGGATTTGTTTTCCTATATTACTTCATCCTTTATTCAGTCAGCCTCTGTTCTGGATGCACGAAACAGACAAGTTTCCTGCCCCATAGGAGATAACACTATCTTTTCAACAAATTTTTGAACGCTGTAAAGTTGTAAACGGTGTATAGTTCATGGTTCACAAAGATGTGTCATATTTTTACTTTGACATCACTGTTAAGTACTCCCATTTGAAAAGGTAAAAACAAACTTATGTGTGCCCATGCATTGTCTTAGCCTGAACAATGTCTCCCCCTTGTGTTTTTCTCCCAAATAGACTGCAACTCTAAAACCACATTAGTTTAAAACCATGACTGAGATTCATTGTAAGCTTTTGGGCATTATAGAGTTTCTCATTCAACAAGTACAAAAAGTACAACACATTATTGTTTCACAGGAAAGCTTGATAAGGACTCTGCTTTTTCAAACAACACCCAGTTTTCCAATGCTCTGACATCAACTGGGTGTTCTACATTTCAATTTAATTCTGGCACTAATTACACGGAGGTGGCACAGACCTCAAACGTCAAGGGCTCAGTCCTACAAGACTGCTTCCACTTCAGACACCAGCCACAAAGGGGGTGTCCAGGCTGCCCACACTTCTGCCTGGCCAGCTACAAATTTGGGTGTTAATACGACCTCACCTCAAGTTCAATAATTGACTAAACAAACAAACAAAATGCAGGAAAGCACTGTACTTACAAAAAACAGTTTTATTCTGAAGGATACAAACCAGGAACAGGTCAATAGAAGCGATGCCTGGGGAGTGGCTGGGGGAAGGTTGGGTGCAGAAGTCCAGCACTCTCGCCAGGAGCACCACCCTCCCAGCAAATCAACCTGTTTACCAGCCCGGAAGCTCCCCGAAATCTTGTCATTCCAGAGTTGGTATCAAATTTCCATTGCATGGGCGTGGCTGATTGGATCACTGACTTGGTGGGACTCAAACTTGTCCCTTCCATTGAGATGTGTGTTTGGGGGGAAGCACTTCAACCACTCAGGAAATTCCAAGAGTTTTAGGAGCTCTGTGTCAGGAACCAAACCGGGGACAAAAGCCAAATATATATATATATTTTTTGATACCACAGGGACCTATGTGATCTTTTTGGAAGAACCCAGGGATAAGGCATAATGAATGGGGATGTCAAATGTTATTTAAGTTCTTCAACTAGTTCAGGTTCCTAATTCACGAATGAAATGAATAAGAAAATACCTTGGAGAGGTAGATTAGAATATCCACCAGCATAGTAAGATGGGAAAGAATTATGTCAAGATTTATTCAGAATTTTTAAGTGTCAAACTGAAAGATATTTAAATGCTCTGAGCCCAGAGAACAGGGGAAAGAAAACCAGATAGGGAGGATTTTATAGCTATATGGAAGACTTGGAATTCCTTAACCAAGTATGCCATGGACATACTTATGAAGGAAATGAAAATTATATCATGGATTAGGGAAACTTTTGTTAAAGAATGTGGTACCTCTACCACTTCAATTTGCTGAAGAATTAGCATCCAGTGGACTCTAATGAAAATATTTATTTAGCTTTTACTTTTTGTCAAGCACTTATTCTATATAATTTCTAAATCCCTATATCTCTGGGTCAATCTCTGGGTCAATAGACTGGGAATGACAATAACAAAAATATTTTCTTTTGAAGTGTGAGCAAATTGTTTTTAAAATCTTGGGTGGCTTTACAGATATAGAGGACCAAAGTTGTGGTTACCGATGGGGAGGGGGAAGCGGGGAGGGGCAAGGTAGGGGTTGAGTATAAGAGGTACAAACTACTATGTATAAATAGATAAGCTATAAGGATATGTTGTACAGCACAGGGAATATAACCAATATTTTATAGTAACTATAAATGGAGTATAACATTAACAATTGTGAATCACTACATTGTACACCTGAAACTTTCATAATATTGTAAATCAGCCATACCTCAAATGAAAAAAAAAAAAGATCTCGGGTAGTCTATAAGCCTTGCACTAGACAAATTAATACCTCTGATTGCCATCTGGTGTTGAACAAACAGCATTTTGTGATAGATGTTTCCTAACCTTTGCATTCTGAAATGTTGTCTTTTCTCTCTATCTCCATAGAGGTCACTATTGCTTTGCCCTGTCCTATTTCTTTCCTTAAGAGGAGGCTGAACTTGTATTGCTACTGAACTCAGGTTCAGCTGCTCGCTGCTCAAAAGTCAATAATCCGAGAGGCAAGTGTCACTAGAAAGGCAAGGTGCTTTAATTAGAAAAGCCAGCAATCTGGGGAGAAGGCGGACTCGTGTCCAGAAACCAACTCCGAAGATTCTGCTCAGTCATGATAGTTTTTAAAGGGAAAAATGGGGGAAAGAATCTCAGTGAATCATCAAGGCAGGAGGTTGGGTTCTGCATCATTCTCCTCTGTATGCAGACTGGCTGACTCTCTTTTCAGACGTTATCTTGCCCACATGATCTGCCTGCAGGATTCCTTAGGAGGCCTTTGTGGGGAGAGAGCTAATCATTCTTTAATTATTTAATTCTTCATTCTTACTTCTTTTTATCCAGGAAGAGAATTGACAGGTTAGGCAAGGCATGGCGTGCTTCAGGAGAG